GAGAAGAGAGAAAGAGAGAAAGAAAGAGTATTTGTCAGTTCAAATCTCCCTGAACTCACCTTTGGTATACACGACTCCTCTTTGGTATCCACGTATCTGACTTCTCTTTGGTATCCATGACAAAATGCTTAGGTCCTCTGCATTGGGTATGTATTCTCACAGATCTGGATATGAAATGCATGCAGCTGTGGTGATCACAAAGAAATCTCAATTTAATAAAAGAACAGGTAAAAGGGAATTTGATTTCTTTGAGAAATATCAGCTGAGCCTTACTTGATGCTCCAAGCCAAAATAACATGCTATAGCTGGAAGTGCTATAGGTAAGAGCAATGATTAAGCACTGATTTTTGACTGCCCATTGGTGTAGTCATAGATTTTTCTGTCTGTAAATCACAGTTGGGAATGGTATTCTCAAAACCCTGTGGTTGAGTAAGAAAGAAAGTTACTTCTTTTTACAAAGCAATATTGCTCCTGTACATTAGAAAAATATCAGTTTCCCCCTTCTGTCTGCAGCTTGCTTATCATTGAAATTGTCATATTTTCAGTTTTTCTTTATTTTTTTTCTTTTTCCATTAAAAGACAAACAAACAACAACCCATGAAATAGCTCTACCCCGTTACAACAAATTCCACTCAGGGACCCTAATTTACTTCTCTTCAGCTTAAAGGCAGTGTAATTGTTTAAGGATAAGGAAAATTTATTTTTTTCTGGAGAACAGACACAGGGAAAGCATCCACGGCCAGATGCTTCAGTACTGCCCTCCTAACATCTCTCAGCTATGAGGTAGGAGTCAGACCAAGGGATGACACTACCTCACTGCTCTGCCCTTTCAGTCCTTGTCTCTTAGGTGGCAGTGAGCACTGTGAAGTAGGCAGCTCAATGTATTTTGTGATCAGCTGTGTTAGAGAAACACAGCAATTAATTTCTCCTATTGGGCCATCAGGGGCTTCAAGCAGTTCATGAGCACAGTGAAATAAATGGCAAGACTCCCATTTTCTTCCATGAACTTTCTAGGGCAGAAATCAGGTTTTAAGGGCACAAGAGATCACATTGTCTGACTTGCTATATAATCCTGGAAAGAGGACTGTCCTAGGATGGCCAGGTTGTGAATTGAGGCCATGGTGCTTTTCTTTAGTATTTTCTGCAGATAGGCATTATTTTCTTTGAGCTGAAAGATACAAAGCTGAAAGAAAGAGGGGATAAGGGAGGCAGGGGGAGGAAAAGAAAAAAGAAGTAAAACAGGAAAAGGAAGAAAGAAAAAAAGAAGAAAAAGAGAAATGAAAGAAAAAAAGAAGAAAAAGAGAAATGAAAGAAAAAAAGAAGAAAAAGAGAAATAAAAGAAAAAAATGGAAAAGGGAAAAGGAAAAAGAAAATGAAAGGGAAAAAAAGGAAAAAAAATTAAAGAAAAAGAAAAAAGGGAAAAAAAGATAAAGATTACTTCTGCATTAAATTCAGCTGGATATAAACTTGCCATAATTTCACAGACAAAGCCCTTCCTCTTCTTGCTCAACCAAACTCCTGCTCCATTTTAGATCACAAAATGTTATCACCACTGAGTTGAGCTGGCTTCACACTGGCGACCCTCGGAGCACTCAGGCCTGTATGAGACAACCCAGCTGTGCCAAATCCTGAGCTGAAGCCTTTCCATGAGGTTCATCTGTTTTAGATCAAAGGGTTATAGGGCAGCTCTCATTGCAAAGCACTGGGAAAAAAGAATCCTTAAACCTTTTGATTCCCGCGGTCTTTCAACCACCAGATAAATTAAAATATTTAATCAAAATCTAATGGCAGTGATCTTGTTTGTACAAATGCTTTATTATCCTGTGCATTTTAACCACAATCTGCCTGGTTCCTAATGTGACCTAAAGAACCAGTCGGCATCTATTACAAATGCAAGGCAGTAAGCTTCTGGCTCAGCAATTAATCACTGACATGGAGGAATTTCTTCTCTCCAGGTGGGGAACCCATCCAAAAACTAAGAAAAATAATCGGGCTAATTAATTCTTATCTGCAAAGAGCAATTAGATAAATGACCTAAAAACAGGCCTGTCACCCCTAGTGAGGTGCTCAGCTTCTAAATAGAATAATATCTCTTTGCCAGGCCACCTCTGCGGTGAAATGGAGATCACAGAGAGGAAGGGGAAAAGACGGCATGTGGGGAGGGAATGGACTGATAGGGGAGTAGGTTAATTAGAGCTGAGACCAGGCACTGATATAAAAAAAATTAAAGCAAAGCTCCGCACTTGGGTAGGTTGATACGATCCCATCACCTTCACAGCTATGCCATTGTGCATCCAGAGGTACTGAAGAGAGTGAAGTCGTGTCTCCAAGCTACTTTGGAAGACAAAAACCACTCACCAGGCTTACCCACCATTGCTCTGCATTTCACCCTGGTGAGTGGTATCCCTGACACTGCAGTCTATTAACTTTGAACTGTGCAGCTCTAGAATGGAGCAATGGTGCTGAAGTGAGATGCAGAGTACCATGTTTCAATTAGTTTGCTTTGCTGGTCTATTTTTTTGTTTCAGTCAGGGAATGTGCAGTGCATTGAGTTCACGAATGAGCCAAATGCACAGGCAAAGAGGCAATAAAAGCATCTGCACATCAGACCTTTGGCCAACTACGTATCATCAGCAAGATCCTGCTGTCCTCTCAGACAACTCATAGTCTGTCAAAAGCCAGAAATGGTGATAGAAGGAGGGGAGAAAACCTCCTTCCTGTCCTTTGGAACAGTCTAATATTCAAAATAACATGGATTTTGCAGCCCCTTCCTAGTTAAAGACCGTGAAGCATCCCCATTTGTGTATAGGAAGCCTTGTCCCATGCTGGCATATGTCTTCCTTGGTCAGTGTGCAACAAGGTATCATTTCTTTTATCCTGCCCCTCCGCATGCTTAGATCATTTCTGATGGTAGGAGACAAAGGGAGACGCTGAAGTAATTGATTCAAGCTTATCTAAGTATTTACAGAAATAAGCCTGAATGACTAGATATAAAATACTAAGGCAGTCAGATTAAGACAATCCACTCCAGCTATAGTTAATCAGGGCTTTAGCCTCCAAGGAGCTGATTTGAGACTAATAAAGTATTTTCCAGCTTCCAACCCCCATGTCAATCTCATTCCTCTTTCCTTGGAGCCATTAGCACAATACCAAATACAAATGTAAATAACAAGGCTGCAGGTAGCTCATAGATTTGCTCTGTTTCCAAGCTCCAAAGCCTCTTACGGTGGAAAAAAAAATGCTGTCCCAGAAGCCACAGATGTTCGTAAGAGACCTTTATCTCTTTCTGAAAACTTGTGTGACCAAGTTTCCTATAGTTTATACAAAGCAGATGCCTGCTTAAATGCTTTACTCAGAGCTGCCACGGTTCCTACACTGAAGCAGTTAACAATAAATTATAAGGACTAATGGATTAGATCAAGATGCATGGAAACACTGTATTTATTCTTAAGAATGATATTTCGCCTCCAAAAAAAAAACCCTAAAACTTTGAGGGCTTGGAGAAAAGATATATATTCCAGATAAGTACTTTGCTGCTTATATTGGCCAAAATGCAGCAGCACTAAAGCAACAGGCTATGCTTAAACACAAAGGAAGAGGCATGCAAATCTGTGTCACTTTGGGTTTGCATTTCTTTCCCATGATGTCAACACGCGATTCAAGGAAAACCAACCATCTACAGGTTGCCTGAGGATCCCTTTGTAAAATGGATGCTTGTGCTGAAGATGGACGGCTCAAGCCCAGGTCTGAGCTTGTACAGGATTGGGGATGTTTGGTGGAGAATGTTTCGCTTTCTGCTTGCTGCAGAAGCAAGGTTCATTGCTGAGCTTCTGTCCACTTTGTAAACCACACCACAGTTCAAAGTGTGAGAATGAATAAGCTTAAGTTTGGGTCTTTTCCTGGATAAATCAAAATGAACTAGTCTCTAAGGATAGGCTGTTGAGGAATGCAGATCGGCAAACTGGCAGATTGCTCTAATACATTATCTTATTTTTTCCTTTTGGATAAGATACAGGAAAGTTCTCAAGAAATTTATACTCTGATAAGAATATACTTACATTATACTTATACTAGCAAGTACTTGCTAGTAATTCTGGCCCATAAAAATGCTGAGAACATTCATGGAAAGTCAAAAATGAACAGTAGAGTTTGTAGGCAGGTAAGCATTTGCAGATAGTGGGTAATGCCAATGGGACATTCTTCAGGGTTCCCAAGAGAAGGACTGAATGATGCAGATCAACAGTACAATGCCAAAAGCAATTTCAGTAATGATGTAATTGAATTTAATAAAGGAAAAAAAAAATAAAAGCAAAATAAAAGGGAGAAGCCTTTCCACCTGCATTTTTTCTGCCAAAGTCCTTCCCTTCTATTCCTGAGCCTCCTCTAACACTCACAAGGAAGGCCAAACTGAGGCTCATTCTTAACTTACCTAAAGCACGCTGCTGTCTGCAAAACATTGGTAATATCCATGCCTGCAGTAGATGTTTAGGGCTGCCTGGAACAGAAAATAGTAGGAGCAGCTGGAATGTAACTTAAGTCTCTAATTCTCTGCAAATGTCTGAAAGGGTGCAGTTTCCTCCAAGTGCTGTACAATGTTTTGAAGCCAAGAGAAATAACTTTTTTTTTCTTGCATCCGAGTCACTTATGTTTAATTTATACAGAAATAGGTACGGTCTCCTTCAGCACTAGAGCGTTGGGGTGTTTTTAATGAATAACTTATAAGAAACAGTCACCTGCTAACAGGTCAGCCTCCCTTTTGTGTTTCATTCCAGTTTCATTAGTAAAGAAAAAAGGCCTTTGATTGGATTAATGGAAATAAAACCACAGGGACTAAATTATAAAGTATCCAGTGGTTATTTCTAGTAGCTCCTACTTGCAACCATGTTTTCTATCTACTCAGGCTCAAAGCTTTGGTGTATAAATACATCTGTCTTAGACTGGAACATGGAAAAGGTTTTGTTTTAGCAGAAATAGCAGTTCATCTTTTTCTCTGCAGTGATTCAGCTGGGCAGACTCTGCTTTTGCGGGATTGCTGAGCTGCTGGGGATGCTCTCAGTAGAAACTTTGCTGTGGACTCTCTGAACCTGCTTTTTCTCCTCCTCATATCCTTTCACCACCACCACCACTGTCCAGTTATTTTTATTTATGTATTTATTTAATGTCATTGAAATAGCATTATCTGGAGATGGCTACAGGCAGGACGCAGAGCCATATGCTCAGCCTAACTTATATAAACAGTGTCCTGGATGACAGCCTTTCCTAGCCCATCTGCAGCTGCCAGGGAATCCATTATTTTTCTTGTCCCTGGGGAGAAAAAGTTCTTGAGCATCATTACTCCTAGGCAAATGTAACTGACTCTACCATGCACCCTAATTTGCTTGCCATAATTATAGGTCGCTCACCCCCTTTTGCAATTTATAAACCCTTTTTATTTATTTTTTGTACTTATCAATAATGAATGGAGGCTAGTGAATCATGGGGCTGTAATATCTGAATATTATGAAAATGCTAATAACAAGGTATCATAGGCAGCAGCACCCAGGTCTTATCAGCTGGTCAGATGCTCTATTAAGCAGCCAGTGAGGAGTTCAAGCAAATTGGTTATGTTAATGTCCTGTAGTACTTAGGGAAGATGAGGAGTTAGCAATTAATTTTTTTCTTCTTCTTCCCAGGCTGCAAACCGACAGGGCAAATTTATATTCCTCCTATTCTATGGGACCCCAGCTCAGAAGGGGGGCAAGGAGGAAATGCAAGAGCTTTCTGAGATCTAATTGAACGATGCAACTGCAGAGCTGGTGGGAGGCCAAGGGGGTGAGCAAGGAATAAATAAATAAATATATAAATAAGTAAGCAAGCCCCACAACAATGGGAATGCCACACTCTTCCCCATTCATTCAGCTGACAGTGCTTTTGCAACTTAAACCTGTTTTATTAATTATGTTTGACATTTCCTTAATTAGTTTCATTTACATCCCATCAGCCCCTACCAGACGATTGCCCCATACATCATTTCACCAGAGGACTGAGATGCCTACAGAATTACAAAAACACCCTCCCCCCCAATCCTCAATAACTCATCACTGTACACTTCATGGATTTTTGAGAATGAATCCTTTCACCTGCTATGTTTCTTAAAAAATACACAGCTTTTTTGTCATCTTTTTAAAAAGGATTATGACGTTTTCAAAGGCACACGATGCTGGACTAAATTTCTATTTTCATTCCATGCACACGGTTTGCTTTGTTTTACAGTTCCCATGTATCTTGACATTGACAAAGTATGGACTTTGCTGAAGAATCCCTTTATGTGGGCCCTGTCCTAGCTCCACTGAGCACTGCTACCCTGCCCCACTGCCTTTCTCAGATAGCTCTGTATGCTCACAATAGCTTCACAATTTATAGGCACGTTCCTGCTGTCCCCATAGTTGTTATCCAGTTTTCCACATATTGATTACTTTCCACAGGAGACCTAAGACAGATGTTTTTACAACTTTAGTAAACGTATAGTTTGGTTGTTTAATATCAATGCCTCAGCTTGTTCTCTTGCATCTTTGACCGTCCTCTCCATCCAACCATTCCATGAGCTGAAGTACGCAGATTTTAGGCTGCAAGTCATGCCTTAGCACAAGGATAACCAGGCGATTTGGATCTGGAAACTGCTCAACCACCATCATGTGGGTCTGTATGAAGGCCCTTGTGCCCCATTGAAGTAGCCAGCTCTATATCCCAATCTGAGAGCCACCCAGTATGAAGACAGACATGGTGCTGGCAGATGTCTGGTGTCCAGCCTGGCTTTTCTGACCCGCACTCGGCACAAGACTGACTGTTCCTAACTGGGGTACAATGACAACCTGTTTGTGCTAATCCTAGACATGCTACCAGGAGCTGTCATTCCGGAGTCATCACACTCTCTGTTGATATCAGTGAAATTAATCATGCAGAAGGAAAAAGCTTGTATGAAAGCAGATAATTATTCCCCTGTTCTGGAGTAATACATACAAGGGAAAGTGATTCTCATTGTCTTGGCAAACTATGACATTTCAGCACATTTTCTGCTTAGTATTGATGTTCAGGCATCCTTTCTCCGTTATGATTTGTAGGTCAGAGTTGGTGCACTGAGAACTGCATACAGAGAGAGAGGTTTCTTTCTTGTTGACTGTTGCCCCTCAGATACAAAGCCCTTACTTAATTTATAACATAAAAAAATGACACTGTGGGAACATACTGATATGATAGTAAGTAACTTGATAGCCTGCATTTCTTTTGAAAGTTCTAACTAAAAAGATAGCTGATGAATAGTTGTCTCTAACTTATCAACAACTGTTCTCAGGTTGGATGTTAGGAAAAACTTCTCAGAAAGAGTGGTGATGCATTGGCACAGGCCGCCCAGGCAGGTGGTGGAGTCACTGTCCCTGGAGGTGCTCAAGAACCATGGAGATGTGGCACATGGAGATGTGGTCTAGGGCAGTCACAGGCATGGGTTGATGGTTGGACTGGATGATCTTATTGGTCTTTCCAGCCTTAATGATTATGTGATTCTATGATTCCTGTAAGAGTAGTCCAAATCTCTGCAACGGAGCACAAAGCAGGGATCTGCCAGCTCAAGCCTTCCCAATACAAGTACCAGATGGACTTGCAATCCCCAATAAAAGAAATATTCATGCAACATATGGAAATATAGTAACTAGAAGAAAAACACTCAAAGAAATATTGATGTGCTTACTTTCTCAGTGGGACTTATTTGGTAGGGCAAAGCCGGCTTCACATTGTCTCTTCACTGCATTTTTCAGCCCTTTTGGCTCTGGGATCAGGTTGTGCAAAGCCAGGCAGATATTTCTCCATATGCAACAAGATCCAGATGTTACAGATGCTCCTGGTCCTCTGTCCTGCTCAACACCCCTGTGGCTGAACCTAGCCCAGGTTATAAGCAACTGTCTCCTCAACTTCAGTTTGCTCAGAAATTTAAGCCTTTGTTTTAATAAAATTCTCCAAACATTTGATCCTTGAAGGAGAGGCAGAGGGAAGAAAATGGAGAAATGGGGCTCACAGTTCACCTTAGAGGTTATTACATCTGCGCTTTGGAAACTAGCAGACGTCAGGGCTGGAGTTCCACAGTTGGACTAGACATAGAGAAAAATCTTGCAATTTGTTCTGAAACCGGAGAGATTTCATCCTATTTTGGAATCCTTCCAGGTAAAAGCCATGCCTGGGACCCTATCCAGATTTTCTGCAAAGCAATGGCTGTTTCATTTCCAGATCATTTCAATCCTCAAGATCAAAGGAAGCCTGATTTTAAAAGCAGGAATTAAGTACTGGCAAAGAAGAAGGCAGTTTTAACAGCGCTGTAATCATGCACACGATTTGCAGAGAAGTTTAGTCAAGAAGTTTTTTTTTGGGGGGGGAGGTGGTTTTGTTTTGTTGTTTGCCTCTTGCTTCATTCCTTTCCTTGTTCTCTCTTATCTTTGATCCGAGCATTTCCCCAAGACACTGCGAGAACAAGGGTGTGAGACGAATACGAAACAGATTGCGGGGAAAAGGTTGATAAGAGGCATTCAGTAGTTGCTGGTGCTTTTCTTTTTCGAGAATGCGTCTCAGAAGCAGTTCAGAGGAAATCTGGAGATATGAAGACAGGGGATGAAATACATATCCCAGTGGGATCACAAACAGCCCTGGGTGTTGTTCTGCAGGCTCTTGCTTCACAGAGTGGTTCTTTTTGAGCTGGGTTGGCTGCTTTTTAATAATGTCCTCTTCGGTTGTTGATGCTCTTTCATGGCACGTTAACCTCAAAGGGTTTAGATCATTTCCCAGCTTTCCTGTTTGGATTCCCCTACATGCACATGAACACAACCCCCCAAACCCTCCAGTTCAATTATGCACGTTTAAAAACCTCCACTAAAACAGTTCAGTAGATTTAGCAGATGCTGCCAGGGCTTCAGATATATCTGAAATAGCATCAAATGGTAAAAAAAAAAAAAAAAAAAAAAAAAAAAGAAAAAAATCAAAATATTTTTCTGTCACATGCTGTCATACATTGTCAGGGAACCTTGTGCTGTAGCTGCAGTGAAGTTGAATCTGATTAAAAGATCAGCAAACAAGGCAGGTTGAGGGGAATTTGATCTCATCATTGCTGTGCCTGGAAATACCTGTCATCTTCTAGGTTGTCCTGCAGTGTGACACTCTTTCTTATCCAGTTTGCCAATGGACAGTCATGGTGACATTCTGTGGAAGCAAAACAGGGAAGAAACAAACCAAAAAAAAGACCTGATCCATTCCAGTTGTATTTTCAAGTCCTGTATTATTATTCCTCTGAGATCAAGCCTAAACATAAATACTAATTATCAGAGCTACAGACAAATGAATAATTTGATGTAAAACAATCCTGCTTTATTCAAATGAGAGTGGAGGTGAAATTAGAGCTATGCAGGATATTATGTTAAAAAGCACACGCACATACACACAAAGAAAGAAAGCAAAATGTCTAATTTTAACGTAGTGTTGTTATCTGTGATTAATGATTTCCGTGGGTGTATGACTCTTATGCAAAAATGCCATGTAATCATGTACATATTTGATTAAATAGCTTAATTTGTGTTCATTTAAAAAAAAATAAAATAAAGCCAAATAAGCTAGATAATGAGTGGGCGTGTTGTAGGAAAAGCAGATGGGATTTGAGGCACTAGCTGTGTTCAAAGGAAGCCACCAATTTCACTTCAAGAATATTTGCGTATGAAAGCTGATATTTTCTAGAAACATTCATGAGTAGAACACAGAGGGATTTTTTTATTATTATTTTTATTTTTTTGCCAAATTCTGCTGTTTTTAATGAAGGCACATAGGAAAAAAAAAAGATCAGCTGAGACATTTCAATTCCCACTCCTTGGGAAGAGCATCTTTATTTATTTATATTTCTGTGTTCACTGGGAATGTTTTCTTTCCCTGAGTCAATTATACCTAAAGAAACTCACTGTTTACTTCTGAGTTTCTGACAACAACCTCCTCTTTCTTTGCCATCACCTGTGGCATTAAATATATAGATTTCATCACACAATGAAAATATTAAAAAAAAACAGCTCTCCAGAATGGAAATAATGGGATTTTTTTTGTGAGTAAATCTGTGTAAATCACAGTGTCAAATGAATGGACAAAGCTTTAACGTGGCTAATAAACACATCCCTCTGTTTTGTGCAAGGGGAATTTTTATGAAAATGATCAAATAAAGTAATAAAAGAGAAGGGACTTCCCCTCTGGGTTTATGAGCTCTCTCGTTACACATCATGTATGACACACTGACTGGCAGAATATATGATGGGCTGTCATACATTGCAGTATGACTTCAATTAGGATGATAAGATGACAAGTTCCCATAGTTCATATATGGGTTGGCTGTGTTGTATTTTTACAACAGGGTTCCTGCTTTGACCTCTTTTTCTAATGTTTGATACAAAATTTAAGGGGCTGGTTGAGGTCAGAGGAGACAAAATGTGACTTATGTTGGGGGTGGGAGAGGAGGGCCATTTGTTTCTTTGTTTGTTCTCCTATCCAAGGAAAAGATCCTATAATTCAGTGTCTGACTCACTATTAAAAATAATTAATGCCAACAGTTCAGCCCACACTCATAACTCCAGAGTAACAAACCAACAAGTGCAGCCTGCCACTCATGGCCAACTGTTAAAATCACACAACCTACAAGCAAATTAGGAGGCACAACAGGCAACACAAAACACATAAGCCAACATCCACAAGTGTCACCATTTATTGCTTTATAGCAAACCCATGAATCACAGAGCCAGAAATACTTTCATCTCCACAAGAAAGAAGCTGACATCAGGTCTATGAAGACACACTGGAGGAATTAGAACCACAACATTATTTGCAGGTAGTCCCATGATAGGCCCAAAACCCCTGGTTTGATACAAGTGGGAAACACTACTTGAAGGAGTGGCATCTGAGATGGGTTTCCAGGTGGTGGTGGTGGCATTTTTAATCATGGGGGGCGGGGGGGAGGGAAGAAAAATGCAGAAGTTAGAGTTGGTTACAACTTCACCGATGGCTTTGAGATTCTGGGAAAATTCCCATATGAAAAAAGAATATACATAGTTACATATATATATATATATATATACACACATATGTATAAGGTCTTCCTCTGGGGCTGTGTTGCAGTTCTTTAAATGAGTACATTCCAATGGTTATCATGATCAAACATTGCTCTTGTAGGACATACATGTAACAGTAGTGGGTCAGGATCAATCTCAGAGTGCTTCTGCGGCAGCTATAAAACAGATACAATGAAGATGGAAACCTATTCATTGTCTGCAGGGCAAAGCATGCTCCATGATAGCACTGATCCCCAAGACCATCATCTTCCTGACCCTAAGGATATTCTGGCCAGACAGCGGTGCCTCATCAACTCAAAATTTGACCCAGACATTTTACATTGTGGCATTATTTGAGACAGTCCACCAACCTGCAAAAGCAAAATGTTTTCCAGCGGAAGATCAAATATTTTCCAGGTGGTCTATTCTGCAGATTCAGCGTTATTGCAACAGATTTGCCTTCAAGTCAAAAAATTGCTTGTGTACAAGTCTCAAAAGCAAATCAGTAAGTGGAAAGAGCAGGATAATGGAGGCACTTATCAGTGAACAAAGGCAGAGGTTTGGTTTGCATACACTCAGGTGGGAATGACTCTGACTTTGAAGAATGACACATGTCATGAAATAGCTGTGCAGAAGAATATACCTCAAACACGCCGAAAAAGAAAAGCCTCGCTGGATAGAAACTGAATAGCAAAACTCACTGCACTTCTCATAAGCACAGATATCAGTAGTTACCGGGAAGAATTTTCTTGGCATCTACTTCTTGGGATAAATTGAGGTCTAAATCTAGGCTAATGTGCCCGGAAGCTCCTTGTGGAGGAGAAAAAGAAAAAGAGAAGAATAAGGGTGAAAAATTCAGCTGAGTTTAATCTGAACAGTGTATCCATCACCAAAAATGATACAAATCAGCTATTACTGGATCATGCAAAAGCAACTCCACTACCTGTGATCCTTCCTTTGCTTTCTAAACCGCTTTTCAGCCCAGCCTAATGAATTGTCAGAACTGTCAGACAGCTCCAAGGAATGACAAATGTCTATGATTTGCTGCTGCTGCTGCTACTTTGCTGAAAACACCTGATGTATATAGTCTTGAAATCCTGTGTTTTGTGTTAGAGGCAAGGGTAAGCTGAAGGAATTGGTGTACGTGTGGAGTTATTTTCTTTCATTTTCTGTATATGTAGTCTAGTGAAAGGAATCTGATAAAAGAAAGTTCAGATTGAATATTAAAGCACTCCCAAACCAAGAAATGACCAAAAGCAGGCAGAAGATACAACCCCAGCTGGTCCATTTTGAACATTTTACAATTCCATACTCAGCTACATTATTTCATATTATGTATTATAACTGTCTGTGACCCAGCATAAAACTTGCAATGATATATCCCCTATTCTTGTATGAGGCTTTCTTCATCAAAATTATAGATAGTAAAACACAAAGCATTCCAACTCCACGAAGAATTTTTTGACAGACAATAAGATCAATCAAATAATTAATTTGACAAATATCAGAGTCTGAGTTATACAGGCTCCAAACATTTATTAACTTGCAGCCAGATTCTGTGAACATTTGTCATTGACTTAAATGGGTCTAAGATTTCACTTCTTGACGAGTGACAGGCCCTGATGGGTATTTAGTCATTTCTGCTATACCAGATTGGCACTGTACTTAATACATTTGCTAATTCTGTCATAGAACTTACTCTCTATAATGTTCCTCTGCACCTTGCCTGAAGAAACTCTTGTGAATTTGTCCTCTGAATAACACACAGAGAAAAAAATACACTTTGGGGAAATGGTGGGATTCTTTTGCCTAATTATTCACTTGTCCAGCACATTTAGAAAAGGCTTCTACTGACTGGAGAAGAGTTTTTGCTGCTTTGGAACTAGTCAGAAGGTATTTTCAAAAACAGATCCCACATAATCAGGACAGTTGAATGAAGTTATGAGAAAATTTCATTATGCGAATACCTACTAGATGTTAGCTGCAAGCACGGTTCTATCCTTGAAGGAAGGGCACACTTGAACTTGATCTGAGTAAGATTTGGAGGGTTTCAAATTTTAAGACTGCAAGGGAAGAAACAAAGTCCTGGAAAGCTGAACCGAGTGCATCCACAAACAAGGAAATAAGTGGATCATTCCTCCTACTGTCACAAAGTGAGATTACTGAGCAATCTACATGGAGAGTAATCTACTTGGGGAGCTGATCCAGATTCAAAGGGCTACTAAAAGTTGGACTTTTAATGAAAACCATGAAGACATTTTGTTGTTTTTCTCATTTTCACCCGGGGGAAAAATAAGTGTTGTTTGTAGATCAAAGCACACTCTCAGCCACTGTTCTCCAAGTGTACGCAGTGATCTCCCTGGTTAGCGGATCCAGGACTGATGCTTCAAAGTTGAGAACCGAAGCTGAGCTAAATCTCAGTGTTTTATCAGTTTCTTTAAGATTTTGGGCTCTTTGCAAGCCAAGAGCACCAGCCAAACATATTTCACAAGGAGTCAGGCCTCGTCCAAACAGGGAATACTTGCCTAATCCTCATGAGTATGATTAGAGTGGTGCTTGGGAGGAGCAACAACAAAAAAATTGCAAATTAATTCATTTACATGAAAGACAGCAGGAAGACCTCTATGCTGTGTGTCTTGCAATAAAACACCACCAGAACACACTAGCACAATTGCTATATTGGTCCGGCATATCTGCAGATGGTACTACATAATCATCTCTCTCAGCATCACACCGATGAACACTTTCCTCCTCAAACCACTTGTTTGAGTCTCCTTGTTTTACAGACAACGAACTGCCACGCAGAGAAAATAGGTCAGGACCTCCTGCATATCGGTTTCCTTGCATCTATCGAAATCAAGAAAAATCAAGGCTTCAAATAAAGGTTAAATACAAAATAACCTGAAGAATTTGATCTAAAAGGCTTCGCCCTCAGAGGTCAGCAGCAATAAACAAGGCAGTGGAAAAGAGTTCCCCCATACAGTAAGTGATTGCCTAAGTACTGGGGTAATGCACCCTCTCCATCATGAAAAGATGCATTCTCAGGCCAAAGTGCCTGCCTCATTGAAGATACTGGGTTATCTTCACCCTCCATGTAATGGAAAAAGCGCATTGATGGGACTAACTGGATCTTACAGGACATCTGCTCTGGTGGACAGCCAGAGTATAGTACCCACCCAGCAATGAGAGCTGAGTTCCTGCAATCAGCCACAAGAAGGGGCAGGAGGAAGTTCTGAGATACACTGCAGGACATGTGAATGCACTGCAAATGAAGATGTGTATATCCAGACAGGAGAAATAATGAGAAATAAATGCCAAAGAAATTACTGGATTCCTCTATTAGATTAACTCTGGTTTGACAATAGTTGGGTTTGAGGAACTCCTCTGTGATTTAGGAATAAGCTTTCTTCTCTAAGTGGCCTAAAACTCATTGCTATATCATCACTTGATGTTGTCAAATAAATAATCATGCGAAATCAGCTGCAGAGAAAAGTCTCCTGTAGAACCGAGTTCATGCATGACATATGATATATCTCTTCAAAGGGACAGATACATCTTTCTTACAGCCAGCATGCAGCTTCCTTCACTGCACCTCTGCTTCCATCCAAATCACCTCAAATAAATGTGAGTTCTGCTGTGTTCACAGTAATTCCTTCATTTTTAAACACATAATGGAAATGTATAACTAGTCCTCATAAAAATTTATATCTCAATTCGTCCCTTTAATTTATAACAGGCCCTCCAGGCAGTTATTATTCAAACATTAATAAAATGCCTATGGATCACCAAAAGCATCAATTTTCACATTCACCTCCCCTTCTATTTGTACATATATAAAGCCAGATTAGACTTAATGCCACTTCTGTGTCTAACAACAATTATGCCTTTAATAAGATAGGAACAAATGATATATTATCTTAATCATGTAAGGAATTTGAGTTCTTTTTATGAAACAAAGTTGAATTTTTTATGCCCTTTGTGACAATTGTTACTTAACAGCCTATATGTTTGGATATTGCAGTTTATGCAAATGTTCGTGTTCTATAAATTTTAGATTTATCTCCATTTATCATTCCACATGTTCTAATACAGAGACATTATGGTTTTGCATGTGACTCTGCACACAGTCTAAAATATGATTAGGACACCTTTCATTTATTTATACCACGGAGAAAAGGATAGAGGGGGGAGAACGGCTTTTGCAAGGGCCAGATCCTCAGCCTCCACAAAGAGGAGCGTTGCAGAGCTCTATCTCACTGCACTGACATAAATCCATCTGATAACTTGGTCTTTCATTTGCTAAAGTTAAATTTTAAAGGATTAAAGTTTACGAGCGAACCCAGGCTTCATTCTGTACTCCAGAAGCAGTTGCCAACTCACTGTATATCACACTGTAGAAACGCTTACTCATGAGAGTAATTATTGCTAATATGAGCTCTCCTGCAGAGAGACAAAGAGATCCTTTGCACGCACAACAGTTTTGGTCTGAAACTCATTTAAGAAGAGCAATGATCATTTACGGCCATAAAAATACATAGGAAGGAATTCCCTGCGCTTTCTCATTTTTCTGTTGGGAAACTTAAAGCCTCTTGAATTTGGAGAGTGGGAAATGTAGATCGTAGGTCATAGTTTGATTCCATGTAAATCACTACTGGTGTGTTGACACCCAAGAAAGGACACTAGTGTACGCCATCTGAGAAGCTGGCCCTTTGCATGGCCAAAAAAAGAAAACAACAACTATAATAATACACTCAAAGCATCCAAGCTCTAGAGCAGGTTCAGTTCGGCTTCGGACCTCTCTCACATGAATTACCGGAGGTGTTTCAGATGGGTGCTAAACTAAGGAGAAATATTGGGAATGAGAATGTCCCCATGCTTTCTGTACACAGGTAAACCAGCATACATTGAGTTCCACTGCCTTCATTACGGAAACTGCATCTGTAACAACTTTGCAACCAGGCAGTACCTGCCCAGGAAAGCTGTCTCCTTCGGAGAGCTTGCAGCATTGATCTGGAAGATGCTATTATGGTGTCTCCCACCCATGCCCATAGGATGCTCTCACTCATTCAGGTAGGCACTCTCTCTGTTTTCCATGCACCGTAGAAAATGCTGATGAAGATCCAGGGAGGGGCCAATACCAAAGTGAACCCCATTAAGACCAGAGCTGCCTTCCTGTGTGTTTCATTATTAATACTGAGCTCAATTACTCTGATTTCTTCTGTTGATGAATAAGCAGCACCAGAACCAAGTCCCTGGCTGATATCCATTTGTCTTTGCTTATAAGTGTTAATGTGATCCTGTTCCTTTAAAATCAAACTCCTGCTTCAGTCACTTTACGTCTTTGCAACAATAACTGTCTTTTCACTAATTGGTTCTGTGTAAATGAAACAAGCTGAAAAACACTGTGGCACCAATAAATATTAATAAGTTATTGTTTGTTTTCTTTACCTTGCTTATGAATTCATACAAAGACAGTGCTAAGACATTAACTCCAGTCTATTAATTGCCACCTGATAATTGCCACCTGATACTTTTCTCCTGGATAATTAGGTACCCATTAGTTCTAATCAAGTAGTTACTTAATTATTGCAGTAATTAGTCTAATGGACTAGCAAATTGAAGCTTTATCACTTTTGGATACTTAATGTTCCTGACAGAGTACTTCACAAGTGTCAGGGTTCCTGATTCAGCAACCTGCTATCCACAAACCCCCTGTTGCCACCACCACCCCATCCACGCTGCTCCCCAGCCACTTCCTGAAACCACTCATGTCTGAAGCCAGAGGCAATATACATTGGAGTACTTCTTCCTTCTCGTTTCCCTTCCCACTCCATCTATGCCTCCCCTCCTGTGCTCTTACTGCTCATTCCACGCCAAAAGAACTTTGTTGGGAAATTAAATAATGTCTTGGCATGAAGATCACATGCATTAGGCTGTACGGCAGCACGATTCAAAGGAAGGAGCTAATGTTGGCAGGTGTGGGAAGAAAAAAGCAACTGTGAGGGGAGAAATAATAAAGTGCATTCATGAATACTCAGATGCAGCCAGGCTTGGGGAGAAATAGGGAGAGGAGCAAAACCGACTGGTGGTAAATGAAGGCATGGCTCCAAGGTCTGAAGCTGGTAATAGGTCTCTCTTTCATCTTTGAATCAGAGAATCTAACATATTTTTACAGAAATAAAAATAAAATGGAAACTATTTTCTGCCCATGGACTCTGTAGCACAGAGATTGGGTGGTAAAGTGATCACTAGCATTTCTCTCATCCATGTTTTTATGATTAACTTCATACTTAGACCTGAAGGGCTGTCAATCCTACATGTAATACTTCCATGACATTCATTTCAGAAAGGGCATGTGAAATGCCATCCTCACACCTCTGTCCATGTACCCGTCCATATGTTGTCTTTGTGGATTGTGCTTGCTTTTGGATCTCGGTTTGAGACAGGCATAGACATTTAGGAGCAGCACAGCATTAAATGTGGATTTCTGTCTCCCATTGATCATCTGATCCAGATTCTCTCAAGACTTTCATGTCAGATTTGTATCAGAATTGATCATCAAGCCCCTTGGCAAGTGTCATCTGCCCCAGGCGCTGCAATGTGTATCGTATAAAAGCTCACTGTACTGGGAAGGGGAGAAAAGGGGGGGAAAACAGAATAGATCCTGCACAGAAATAAAGAGTTTAACTCCATTCAATAACGCTTGACAACTTGCTAATGGTTAAACTACTTCACATATGTGGTAGGATTATGTATTCTGAAATAGATGTATTTATCTTTCTTGATCAGATATCTCATATTTCCATTACTGCTAGGTCTGTAGCACCGTCCAGGGTTTTGTACAGACAAGGGCTTCCGACTGTGCCTTGACTGAGCCCTGAAGGACGGACAGGGTTTCCAACCAGCCTCGGCTGGCCTCTTATGGATTGGAAAGAACAGTGAGAAGTAAAGGTTATTACTCCTCTGGGTTTTATAGAAGCATTTTAGCAGAAGGGACCCTTAATCGTCATCTAGTCGAATTTCCCTGCTCTGGACAGGGACGTCTACAGCTCGATCAGGTTGCTCAGAGCCCAGTCCAGCCTGGCCTTGAATATCTGTAAGGATGGGGCACAGAACAAGGCAAAGTTTTACATTGGATCAGAGCTCTATCATGCTTCTAAACTGCTCTAATCTCAATTATCACACACAGTACCCTAGTCAGCCATACAAGGCACTCGTAAACCAAAATATACCCTATACCCCAGTGTCCTGACAAACATCAGAATTTCATTTACCTAGAATTTTCCTCAGCACGTTCACATTATCAGAACTGAAAAGCCAACAGTTTTCATGGGAAGCATAAATAAATTCTCCCAATTCTTACTGTATGAAAAATAGAGTCCTGTTCCAGTTACATTATACTCTTACCCAAAACACAACAGACTGTGACAAAGAAGTCACCAGCTCGTGAGTTTTCTGCCATAGCCCCACATGCATCCATCACAATTGGCTGCATATGCTCATTTACTCTGAAGTTACTCTTTAGGTAACAGTCAATAAAACCTTATGCCACTATTGAAAAATCACACCACAGAACTGCTTAAACACCTGCGTGAGGCCACTGAGCAATAACAATCCCATGTACTCAAAGCAAAATTAGGTAAAGCATACTTGTCCCATTAAGAAAACATATTGCTTGAAACTACAGTGCCTCAGGATGCTTAGATTTTGCTCCATAGGATACAACTACCGTCCTACCCAACACAGGACCTGCACTGACATGAGTTCAAGTGGCTCAAACTGCTGTCTCTGTTGAAGGCTCCTGGCAGAAGAAATTTACCACTGAGTGCCTCATCTGACTTCCCAGCATTGCTCTGACTTCTCTGACCTGCTTAGAGTAAATTCGGTCCAAATCTGGACCAAAAAAGGGTGTGATGGCAGAAGGGCAGCAGGCTGGGGGGTCCATCCAAGGGTCTCCCTCATGCTGTGCCCCTGGTGGGGCTGAACAGAGACCATCTGTCTCCAGCGCTATTGATCCAACACAAGCACTAAATTCATTTTAAGGATGCTGAGAGAGCAAGAAAACTATATGTGACAGATGTTAGTCACGTTGCTTAATGTACTACTCGAAGGTGTTCAGATGCTCTGGTGATGAGGGTGCTAATAAAACCAATTCAGAATAGAATGAAACAGGCTAAGGGAGGATTTTTAGATTTATAAAGCTAAAAAGGGTTTTTAGCTTGAGGGGGGATTAAATGTCATACTGTCCACATCATCAATTTTCCCTCTGGATTTGACTTTGAATTACTTGTGCAGTTCTTCAGCAGTGACATGGCAACAGGCAAATTAGAAGACAAACTGAGAAAACCTTTTATGTTGGAAATACCAGGAGAAACAGTCCAATGATTATTGAGAGAGGGAGATGCAGAACTCATTAAGGCAAGATGACTTGGAAAGATAACGACGGTGTTGCATGCAAAGGAAAAGTAAGGGAAAAAAAAGAAGCATAAAGAAGCAAATTCCTTAGCACTCCTTCCCTATTTCTCTCTATGCACTTTCTAGCACTTCATTTCACAAGCTCAGTAGGCAATCAATTTTAGCTTGTATCAATTTGGCAGTTTAAGATCTCCATAATAGTTTAGACCACTCCTGTTCAATGGGTTGCACAGCTTTTGGGAAAGGCTGAGTGCTGTTCTGGGGAGGCAAGATGCTTCCAATTTCCAAGATAAAGGGAAGGAAGAATCAGGGAGGTGAGATGCTTCCAATTTGTCTGTCCAAATCTAAGATTCTTTCATAGAGTGGAGCTTATTATTGGTAAGATCTCAGTCTTCACTTCTTTGAGGAGTTCCTTGAGCACTGCTTTCATGCTTCACCATTTTCTTGTTTTTGTGCACATGGAACAAATGCCGGCTAGGAGGACACAGGAGACAAGAGAGACCAAAGATAATTGTTCAGCCTTATGCCACTAAACAAAGAAGGGTTGCTTATCTCTATGGGAAAGTTGTAGCCAAGTATCTACAGGGCAGCATACAGAACACCCCATGAGCACTTCTGGTAAGCACTAAGTGCAAGATACCTTCAGAAAGGCAATAGAAATTAGCCTTAAGAGAGATGCCAGAAGTGGGGGGTACTGATTCACAGGCAGTCTGGTTCTTGCTTCCATTCCCTGATTCACAACCAGCTGCAATATGATGACGATAAGAGCTTGGTGCCCAGTAAGTTCAGAAGAGCCCTAATGACCTCAGGGTTAAAACTGAGAAGGAAGGAAGGAAGATCAATCATTCTGAAGTCTGGACATAAGAATGGCTGAAGTCCTGGATCGAGGGATCTTTGCTTTTTGTGTAATTTTGGTTGTTTCTTTTTTGCAGGTTCTCAGCTGCCTGTCAGACTGGGCCATGATGAAACTCAACATCTTGCAGAGACATAAAATGGAAAATAGGCAACTCATCAGAAAAGTAGCAGCTGTTTTACACCATCACAAAACAAAATCATCATACACTAAAAACTAGATTTAGCAGTTTAAAAGAGCCGCTAACACAAAATTAGCTGGAGACAACAGCGTGATTTTGTAACTGACAGTGCTTCATTCAAACGCCCTAATTCATGTAAAAACTACTTAGCAAACATTAAACGCCTGATGCTTTTGGAAAGGAGGAGAGCATTCAGACTTTCAATGGCTGCTTAGGAAGAATGCATAGATTTATTACATCTATTTTTTTTTTCTTTTACAAATTTTAAATAAGCATCATATCAAAAGTACCACCTCTTAAATACCAGTGATGCTACAGTCCTCCTGACAGAGGGAGACACCATGCTTTATTGGTGAGCTATTGTGTTTACTGGGGGCTGACACCTGTAAAAAGGTTGTACGAGGCTTCTGTGATGAATGAGATGATATAAGAAGGCCGTGAGCACTTTGGATCATCAAATACTTCAATAACTGGATATGGCTGTTCATACAACCGTAAGTTCATACACATGGAGAGGATATAAAGAAGCAGCTGCCTTCTGAATGAGCTTTCTGTTGCCTTCTCATACGTGTACACAATCTGTTCTAAATGCCACACAATCTTTCCTTTGTCCCAGAGGTATTTCTCATTGAGGATGAAAATTTCCCTGTGCTATTGCTATGTCCTGCCCATAGCTAACACAGCTTCTGAAGGTTAGAAACTTGCCTGGCAAGAAATGTATCTAAGTCTATTGCTACCAGAGTGTATGTGGCTTGGCCAGAGACCTGTCATCTAGCAACCATGAAGGGATGGTTTTTGATTGTTTGGAACTAGATTTAAGTTGTCCATATGACTACTAGGAGAAGAACTGGGTTTATTTTTTCTTTTCTCCCAAATCAATCTAACAATAGCATCTAGTGCATTTTCCCTGCCTGTGGAACAGGCTCAACTCCATTGTCCTTAACAGTCCCTGTGGGTTTTGTAAAGTTAATAGCTTAGAAATAGCTTGGAAGATTAATAATAATACATACGTGTCAAGAAGGGAATATTACCACTGACAGTAATAGCAGTTATGCTTGTGTAGATGAAATCCACATGCTTTTCAAGAGAGGCAGGTCTCTGACAGCTCCTTTCTGACCTGAGTTAGTGGGAGCACATGCATCATTCAACAAAACAGTGCTGTCCTAGCTGAGGTGCTTCCATGTCTCTGCAGTGGTAAACCCCTTTGCACTTCTTGTCTTGGGTGATTCTCCCATCAAGTCTCATCCAACTGCTGCCTGACAAAGCAGTCCTGGTCTGGATACGGAATGAGGGAGGGATAAATATTAAGCTGAAGCCTGGCTATTTGTTCAGTGCAGACAAGTTGTGGCCCTGAAGAAGTCTTTTACCTTCCAATAAATTGAAGGGGTGGGGGTGTAAAATGTTCCACATCCTTCAAGGTTATTTTTATTTAGATCCCACTCTTCAAAAGACTATATATATGGATGCAAGAGTCAAGGTGCAATCCAAAGTCTGAGAAGTTATAGACTCCTTGAGACAGTCTCTGATGGATCTGAATTTTTCAGCTAAAGAACATCTATGCTCTTGACCTGAGACCTAGATTTCACATTTCAGGAATTAAATGAGCATCATTTTCTAAAAGACATTAGACCAAGGCTGGGCTACACAAAAGATAGCTTCAGAATTTAGATGAAGACACTGACATGACAAGGAGACTTAAAACCTGACATATTTTGCTTCTGTTGGAAAGCCATACTTGGTTTGTTACACCCCACTGTGTCTTCTTATGTACAAGAGGCAAAGTAAAAGTGGAAGTTGTTTTGGACTGAGCATCTCAGAAGGCAGAAGGCTCAGTGACCTAGATGATCTGGCCTTGTCTTAAATTACTCTCTTCCCAATTTATCCTTAGACTGTGCCAAAAACCTGCCAAAATATAATGGAAATGTTTGCGATCCCTGCCAAACTGTGAAGCCTCTGGCTCTGAGATATTTCAGATGTCTTGATTAGTCTGAAAGAGATGGGCCTGAAAATAAGGGAGTGTGAAAGGAAAAGTATTTCCTACCTGCAGCTGCAAAGCTGGGACTCATGTCCGAGCGTTTGTCTTGCTCCTTCCATACAGACAGATGGACTTTCTCAGGATAGAGTTCAACCTGCTTAAAAAAAAAAAAAAAAAAAAAAAGTTAAAATTAAAATTAAAAACAAAATCATGATGGGGCAAGGAGACAAGAGCCTCCTCCCACAAAAGGACTGTATTCAGCTACAAGCAGTGAACCCCTCACCTTTCCCTTGATGCAAACGCTGACATTTTTGCAGGCGTGTCCCAAAATAGGGTTTTTCCAGAAGGCAGCCAGCTGCCCAGATGTGCCACTGCTGCAGTCCTGAGGAGATGAACAGAGGACCTTGCAGCAAGCAAGGAGCAGAGCCTATGAAGAGACTGACTGCTCTTGTTTCAGATCAGATGGATGGCTCTAAATGACCTGGAAAGATGTTCCCAGAGCTCTGAGCCACAGCATTAAGAGCCAAGACACCACTAGCACTTCTGAAGTTGTTATTAGTGACTGAAGTAGCACTTGTCAACTGCGACTACAGTTTCAAGCAATAGTTTAACAGCATCAACTTGAAGTAAGGTTATATCTCTGTGTGCCTGGTGTGCTGCTGACACTTAAAGGAAATAATTGGTAGACTTAGAGCAAGGGCAGACGCCAGAGGTAGAACAGTGGTAGAGGTTGGATACTCAAAGCATAATTCAACAATTCTGCATGAAACAAGAGCTGAGAATCCATTGCATGCCCTGGCATAAAAGGCACAAGGAAGCTGTAACCCAGCCTGCAGAAAGTGCTCTGCTCTGCAGTCATCAGCTGTGCTGCTTGGATGTTTAAGGGCTCAGCTACAGCTGCAGTCTGCAGCCCTGTCCCAACGAGAGGACAAAAACATGTTGCCCCTTGCAGTTCTTGGCTGGCTTTTTTGGAAAGCACGTGTAATGCAATCTCCAGCTGATTTCTGGCTTCAGGACAGCAAAGCCAAGAGAAAATATATGGGTATATGTGCTTGTATGCTGTGGAAAAGAAGACAGGAAATTGTCTGGAATGAAGCGCTCAGTCTCATTTTACCTGTAGCTTGGCTGTGGGATGCTAAAATAGAGGAATTAGCATGCAAATCCAGCAGTCCCTTGGCTGTCATCACCTTCCAATTAGCTACATTTGATTTCGGTGGGCGCTGATGGATTGTGTCAGCAGGTGAGGCAGTATGAGGAGAGGTGCTCTGGCTGCCACAGGCAGTAGAGGGCTGTGTGTTTGCCTGCTTTTCCCCCTATGCTGTCTGCTAGAATGATGCTGGCTGCCAAAAGAGAAGCACCGGAGGAACTGATTCTGATTTGAATACGGCCAGCAGGGTTTCAGCAGACCATGCTATAGCTGTACAATGTATGTGAATTAGGAGGATGTCTTCAAAGCGAAGAGTAGCTTGTGTTTGGTGAAACAATTTGACGAAGCAGAACTGCCATGAGAAAAGGGCTGCCAGGGGAATGTAGCCAAGACAGATGTGACTTGGTCATACCAATAAGTTAGGGAAATTGCATTTACAGAGCAATTTTAAAGCACAGGAATATGATCCAATTTGTCCAGAAAATTGGATGTTTCCATGAATAAAAGCAAGCAATCCCAATCCTCTGCAAGAGTTTTAGTTTTGTGGAGGGCTGGAAAATTCAGTGTCTTTTCTGTTTGTTCATTATGAATAAAACTCTGAAGGAAACAGACACATTTTTGGATAAAAGAAAAAAAGCTCAGAATAGATTTATGAGTCATTGTCATAGCAATAATATTTGGGTTTGTACGCATAGGCAGGATTGCCAAGAGAAAAGTATGGGAGCAGAAGAGGCAAAGGATTATTATCTGCAAAGTCAACACAAAATTGGAGGGTGGGGATGGAGGTGAAGGGCCTCCTTCAGTCAACAAGAGCAGCATCAGTGAAGGACTGAGTCACAAATGCGCAGAATTCACAGAGCAAGCAAAGATGTCAAAAGTGGCTGATGGGTCAAAAGCCTGAGGCTGGCACTCTGCTCTTAGCTTTTGCCCAAGAAGAAATAGGGGAAGATTTTTTTTGAGAGTTATTTCAGTTGGAGGTATGATTGGCTACAGAGGACAAAGGAGGTGGAGAAAGAAAACTGTATAAGCCTAGAGAGGGAAGGGAGCTCCAGAGACGCATATTAGACAAGGAGAAAAACTTACAACTTGAAAAAATAAAGCACATTATTGAGAGTGCTGAAATAGAGAGAACACTGATAGGTTCAGGAGTATGAGAAAAAAATTGAGAGGGGAAACCGAAGATCAGGACTTGAAATTAGACTTCTAGGTTATAAGGATATAAAAAGAAAAATGCTTGACACTGAAATGGCAGAAGGAGGAAGAAGAGCAGAACAACTTGATTCAATTTTCACTTCAGAGAAGTCAGCAAGAGCATCCAGAGTTTATTTGTAGAAGCAGTCATGTAGTGGCAGTGGGATCTTCATATCTCATGTTGGATGATGGGGCACTGGGCAGCCTGCCCTGGTTGGTGACATCCAGCCCGTGGCCAGGGTTGGGGCTGGCTGGTTTTAAAGTCCCTTCCAACCCAAGAATCTGTGATTCTAAACAGTCACTAAAGCTCTAGAGAATATGCAGATATAATAAACTATATAGCCTTTACACTGAAGTACAGTGGGTACTTTCAGAGTTTTATAGTACGTGTTTAAGTCACACCTTCACCTCAGGATCTTCTAAACTCTATGAACTATTAGCAGCTGGAAATGAAAAATAAGAAAAAACTTGCAGGAAAAATATTGCAATTCCTGTACAAGCTTGTAAATACTGGTATTGTAGTGTGCAGGTGGGTGCATGTGTTTTATAATTCCAGAAAGTGACAGGTAGGGGAGCTCTTATAAATTTATTATTATGCAGTAAAGCACACCAAATATAAGAAAATATGCTTAGTTTAGTGTAGGGAAAAAGAGAACAAAAAATTATTTTAGAACCTGTCCTCTTTTGTAGAAATTGGGCTGGAATTTAACAATATATGTCAAGTGAGGCAATTGTTTAGTTCTAAAGTAAAATTCCAGGGAGTACTTTTTACATTTACACATGAATGGTGAGCCATCATCTTAAGCTGACCATGAATTTCTAATTTTCCCCCCACAAAATCTTTCTTTTCTTACTTCTGCAGTGACCTGGCGCACACACATACTAAGACTTCTAACGTAAACTATCTTCAACTTGTTCATCTTCCTCTAATTTATTACATATAGAGTGTGCCATAAATGAAGGCAAAAAGGAGAAAGTAGAGGAAGAAGTAAAAAAAATGCAATTGGAAGCAGGTGTTAGAAGCTGGGACCAGGGTTGGAGGAGGAGAGGACAATGTTAGGAGACAAAAATTGCTCATAAGTGGAGAAGTGGAGCTGGAGTGGACCAGACAACTTACCAGGATGGGAGCAGAGGATATTCCGACTCCAGCCTGAGCTGCCAAAATGGCGTCACATTTATTCTAAAAGCAAGGAACAGTGAGAGAAGAATTTAAGCTACTGTTAACAACGACATCCTGTTTACCTATAGCGATAGTAACGATGGGACTTTGAGCTCTGCGTCATCTCTTACTACTTCTTTTGATTACCTTAAAACAGAGGATGCCAAAGGAGCTTAGAAGAGCACCGTCGGCACCTGCCCCAAAACAGGACTGGAGATCTTTCCCGCGTCTCGCTGAGATTGAGAGCTTCTGTCCTTGAAATGTTAAACTCATTATCTGGAAGGTGTGGACAGTGTCGTGTCTCAGAAATCCAGCGCCCAGAAGAAATCTGACAGAAGTGTGTCACAGGGTGGGGTGTGAGGGGGGAACTCCTGAGAAATGTTGAGCGCACGTGCTTTTTTGGCAAAGGGTGCTGGCTGGACTCGTCATCTGATAGCATCCATAGATTTGGAAGACTGAAAATGAACTGCATTACAACAGAGATCTCACCACTGAAACAGCACACTGACATTTATATTAGCTCTGTTTGACATGACCTGACGGGCTCAGCTGGGTTGAAGCCATGCCCGTGCAGCATCCACCTGCTTCCCCCTTCCCCAGCCCTTTGCCATATGCCCTTCTCTCTGTCCTGGGAAGGAAGGAGATCCTACCCAGCCCACTGCTGTTAGCTGCAGGAAAGGCAGCTCCTTGGCCAACGACACAAAGCCAAAAGTGGAAAGGTGAAGAAGTAGAAAATGCTGTTGTATGCATAGACAGTGCTCTTATGTTTCCCTGACTGTGGGGAGACTGACAAGCTCAAGAAGAAACTTGGTGGGGTCAGGAGATTTTCCCCTCCTCCAGGCTATGCTGTGCTTTGATACTGAACTGAAGCGACCTCGGTGAAGTTACCTGATTTACCTGGAGGTGGTAGGGAGAGAATCCTCTCCAATAAATTGTATCAATTTAACGGGGATCATATATGAGAGAAAGGGAAGTCCAAGCCCTCGGTCCCCGGGGCTACTTTGGGGGCTGACTGTCAAGGTGTGTTTTTTATTGTGTGTACCGCTTGTCTGATGATAGGAACTAAATTGAGAAGAGGCTCATTTCTCACAGGCCACTGAGCAACCAGAATGTGCTAACTGTCATACGTAGGAAGCACTCAGGTGTCGGGATTGTCAAGAGAGAAAGTGCAGCGCTTTTTATTAACTGCAAGAGCAATCAGCTCTGTCTGGGTCTGCTCAGTCTTGTGGAAACACATAGTTCACACTGGGCAGTGCTCAGAGGCTTAACACAGGTATCAGCACTGAGACTCCAGTAATAACTTCACATTAGAGCTGATGCATTATGGACTGTTGCATAGTCACAATTACACTGATGGCACCTTGCAGCCTGATCTCTGACTTAAAGGCATTTCTTAAGTCTGAACAGGTTCAATACTGCACAATTCAGCTGTGTATTTAAACACTATTTTGTCTTGCATGGTTGATGGAAAGGCTGACAAGATCTTTGTTGCCTGCTCAGAGGGTGGGTATGCTGTATCAGGCTCAGAACTCAGCAAATGTCCAAATGTAGTGCTTGATCTAGCAGCCAGCATCTCTACCTGTGGCAGAAGGGTTGGAACTAGATTATCTTTGAGGTCCCTTCCAACCCAAGCAGGTCTATAATTCTTGGTTTCTACAACATGTGTCTACTTCAAGGTAATATCCTGGCCAGGCCTCATGGTGCATGGTAGAAAAACACTGAAAAGAAAGGCAGTGAGGAAGATGACATCAAAGCACTGGTGGCTGCTTCCTCAGCTCTGCTCAGTCCTTCCCTGAAAGCTGTAAAAATGACTCCAAATTTTTGGAGGGTTAAACGTGATTCTGGAATAAATTTGATGAGCTTAATTTGAATTAAATTTGGACTAAATTCAACCACAGCTGAAAAAAAACCCAAAAAACCAAAAACCAACACATTTCTGAAAACTAGTTCTCATAGTAGCAACCTGATACCTCATTCCTGATACCACATTCCTGATACCACAACACCATTGAGCTGTGCAGGAGAAGCTCTGGGGCTTTCTTTTCTCAGTGAGGAGAGACCCAAACCCCATGACGTAATCCATCATCACAGCTGGGTTCCATGCAGCATGTACAGGAAAGAGGCCAAATACCCCAGAATCAGTACACGGCCTCCTTATCACCTGGAGGTTATCAGAAACGGCATCAAGGACTCCATCTCTGTTAAGAAGTCAGCACTTAGCTGTGAGCTGCTACACCTCAGAGAGTCCCCTCCAGGACTCCATGATTCATGTGGGTCCTTTCCAAGTCAGGATATTCTGTGATTCAATGACTCTGTGAAACAGTACTGGAGGAATCTCTACCTGTTGCTTCATCTAGTAGTTTTCTGCCAGAAATAAGCAAATTATTATTTTTCACTAGCCTAAAATCAGTACACGATTAAGTACATATATGAATATAAGGTTCCAATCTGTTTATTTCACCTCTTTACCCAGAGAAAGCCCTAAGAAAAGCATTAAAGCCAGAGGCCAGCTGGGCCAACTGAAATGTTCACGGCTGACTGCAGCACAGCACTCACTTGCAGGCAAAGAAAATAACCTACTGCACCAGAAAGAGAAAAATGAAATATCCAAGGCCCACCAGCCACTGCTGAGCCTGAATCTCTCCCTTTTCACATTCTCTCATACTATCTCGTATCACAGAAAACACAAACCCTTGGAGCCCTGCACATGATTCCACAGCCAGGTGGCACACCTTGAAGACAAGAGAAGTTACACATGGGTCAGTCAGCTGTACAGTGGTTTGTGTCCTTAGCAGGTGCTTCAGTGTCAAAGATATTAAACTCAGTTATTTTCAGTTCTGTGCCAAGAACCGAAAAGGTCTTCCTTCTCTACCCCCATTCTAATTAAGTTTATAGGCAAGGACTATCAGCTAGGCTGAGGGTTGAGCTGTCAAGTTAAGAGAGAAACGCCAGCAAGGCAAAACCTGCCAGCTGGAAAGACAGAGTTTCTGATGGTGGCTGTACTTTCTGAAAATTATCTCTCCAGTCTCATTTTTCATATGTTTCTCAATATATCTCATCTTTCTCTCTGTCTCTCACATACCCAGGTGCACACAGGCACATGTGAGTTATGTGCTATAGCGTCTTGCTTTGGTGGATTGCCTCTGTCTATATCAAAATATATATAATATAGCTAAGGGCTCTATCCTTCTTCCAGCTACCTCAGTGTAATGCAGACTTCATCTCAGATGATTTGACTCTAGACACAGGCTGTTCTGATTTTCAGCAGGAACTGGCAAGACCATATCTGCAAATCATCCCTGCACACATCTATGTGCTTGTTCCTTAGTACAGCAATTATTGGGTTAATTGTAGTAGAATCTCTACAATTAGTCAACCTTCTCAACAACCCTAGAGTGAAGTAACTCGTACCTTTAGAAAGGGTGGCTGAGATGCAAGAATAACGAACCATTGATTAAGATCTTGAAAATATTTAGGAGCAGAGTTAGATTTCAGCCCCGAGAACGGCGGATCACTGCCCTCTCTGGAGCACCTCATGGAACCGGGCCCCCAGCAGGCATTGCTGGCTGCCACATGTGCTGCTTTCCTCCTGGCAGAAACAAAAAAAATCTTTTCTATTTTTTTGCGATGTCTTTGATTCAAATCCTTCTCAAGCCAATATAGTAAAGTCCAAATTCTCTTCTATTAGATCCTGATAAACAATGGGGGCATTTGAACTTATAAGTGTGAAATGTAAAAACCCATCAACCTTAAGGCAACAATTAGCAGAGGCAGAGAAACAATTCTTAGTGTAGTGCCTTACTACTGGACCTGGCTACATCACTTTGCATCCCATGCAATTCAGAGCTGGAAAATGCATCATAGTGATAATCATCACAATCCAGCTTAATCTAGAGCACTTAGCACATCTACTTTAGTATTTACCAAGGAAATTGGCAAATCTCCCTCTTGAGATGGAGAAGTAAGGACAGTGCTGGAAGTGCCATGGGCTATGAGAAGCACTGGCTTTCAGTCCTAGTGGGTTTGCAGCTCTCAGTTGATGTTGCTGCGACTCCATGGTGTAAAGTTGACTCAGATTCCGAACCTCATCTGTCATCAGATTTGTTGCACCTCCTACAGCTTTTTACTTTACATCCAGGGTTTTCTCAGGCCTCAGTCCCAAATGACCTCTGTGAGACTGGCTGACACTATAGCAATCCAGAGGCACCTGCACCGAAAGGCATAAGGCCCTAGCATCTGTGGTATATTCCCTTTCTCCTGTTGAATTGTCCTTCAGGACTTCACCTGGTCTGAACATGCAAGTTCAACAAACTGGAGGATGATGTGATCTGATTACTACATCTAGATCTGCCATTGCACTGCAAAGCCCAAAATGGAGTCCCAGACTTTTCATAAGGAAAACTCCTTCAACCAATCCTGCTAACACTGTGATGCTGAAGAGTTTCCCAAAATTACAAAAAAAAAATCAGACAAGGCTGAAGGGAAAGAAATACAAGAACTGAGTGGTAAAAAGCTTCTTAGGCAGATAGCAGAACAGGGAACCTGCAGAAGGAGTGTCTATACAAGATGTGGGGCAGAGGGAACATGGGGCCCTTTGGAAGTTGAGCAGCAGATCTTTCCTGCTACTACTCTGTTTTGCAAAAAATAAAAACAAAAATAAAAATAAAAATAAAAATAAAAATAAAAATAAAAATAAAAATAAAAATAAAAATAAAAATAAAAATAAAAATAAAAATAAAGGAGGGTTGGAATGGCATGGTTGCATGGATGGCATGGTTAGAAAGTCTTCGTTTAAGCATTACTGGTAGGCAAGACAATCAGGTCCATGTGATGCACTGATACCCTATTTAAGTAAAATCAAAAGGCTGAGGATCAGGGGGCAGTTTAGATCTCCTCATGAATGACTGAGGTTTAAGATGCTCTGTGATATAATCCGGACAATCTATCATCTCTTTCCCCCCCACAGAGAGGATAATTAACACGGCAAAATGCAGGAGGCTCAGTGCACCCCTTTCTGATGTCAGGGACCCATTTTAAGGTCAATGATTGAAATGCTCCAATGGTGTCAGCTGAGCTTTTGCATCCGTTGCTAGGATTTTACTCACCAAGGACTCTTAAGGTGATGTATGTTCATTAGTTTACAGGAAGACATAATTACCCATCCAAACTGCACCATGTTTCATTTGCTACTAACCTTCTGATTCACCTAGGTAGGTGGCAATGAGTGCATTTGCTAACTGGTGATTACCAAATTAGTTGCATGATAAACCTTTTTCAACATACATTTTAGGGGAAAAAAAAAAAGTAAAATGAGTAATGAGTTGATCTTTTCCTTCAGCATGCCATAATTTTTATTCATTTAACTTGAGCCAATTTATTAGGGGAGAGAGGGAGAGAGCTTGTGTTCCTTTGCACTTGCATTGCAGAAGAGACAAACAAAGGGAACATTTCTGAATGTGGTTATATTTAAAAACTCATATTAATTATAAACCCACATACTCTTCGTAAAGGCAGGGGCTACAGCCTGGCTGGGGGAGGGAATAGGGGGTCATGTATAAATTGTCTCCCAAGGACCCCACTGAAATTTCCATAGCGTTCACCATATGACACTGATGTGTGAAAATTGACATGAAGATTTGAAAATTGGGACCGAGGGAGACCAAGCATAAAATAACTTCAATTTTGCGCTTTCTCTGTCTCTCGGAGGAATAGTGCAGTGGACTGACCAACACAACACGAACAAGCCAAGAGGAGAGAAAAAAAATATTCAGGGAGAAGGATAGGAGTTATTAAAGAGAAAACACACTCCTCACTCACTGAGAGAAAGGATGATCAATGGATTTAGTCACAGAGAAATTCAAGCAGAAAATTGCTGCTGTTTTTTATCTGAGAGGCAGAAAGTTTAACCAAACCAGAATTCTCTCGACTCACTCCTAGGCAAACAGTGAAAAAAACAGAGCTTTGTGAAATGGTAGAAGTGAGTGTTTGTGCGCGTGTGTGTATATTTTTGAGTGTGATTTTACAGTTTTATGATGCCAAATGAATTGTTATACAGAGCCCTCACCTCCAGAAGTCTGCGACTGGGAAGATTTTATAAGGTGTTTATAATCTGCCATGAGATTGAAAATCCCAGCAAAATTAGAAAGCCAACCCCATCTAGTGTGAATAGCCATCAGATGGAGTCACTGCACTCAGCTGCTAACACACAAGTCCTATTCCTTCTTCAGAATGAGGGCAAACACGTAAAATCACCAATTATAGATCAGGATAAGTAACAAAACATTTGAAAACTAAAAGTTTTCGCTGTGCCTCCTGTACTAAAGGGTTAAACATTTTATTCTGGGAAAATTGGCACTGTTTTAAAATGCTATATATTTTCTCTCAGTTTCTTCTCCTTGGGATGCTCTGTGGTGCTGAGTGCAGCTTTTTTGAACTGAATTTTGGCATTCTGGAGGCTCTTGCTGGCACTTCTGCTTACACAAAATCAAGTAAGTCTTGGGACTTGCTGCTAGTGGTTCCCAAACCAGATCATTATGCAAAGGCAGGAGGTACCAAAGCATCACTGAACTGTGGAAATAACAGCATACTTCATCTCCTGGAGTTTAACTGCTATTCTGGGAATAGATGTCCATAATTTTCTTTTGCACTGGTTAGCTGTTCAATAGTTCACATCCTCAGATTATTGGTCAAAATGCCTACCAGACTTGGAAACACTCCTTAGGCTCTCAGCAGGACTATCCAACACTACAGCACTGTGATGTGGACAGACATACATCCTATATGTAAACCCATGAATATTTCTTAAAACCTAGACCTGTTATAAGCCGCATCTTAAGAAAACACATCTGTGCAATCTGTTCTAAGTAGATACCCAGCACTCACCATCACCACTATTGCAGAAGTTCTATCATGTTCCTTCTGCTGTCATTTTCCTTTGTGGATCACAAGTTGCTTGCTATTCTCTATTACCCCAAAGACCTCTGTAAAACAATGGAGATTTAAGTCAGTACATTTTTGTTGTGGAAGAAAGGCTGTGAATGTAGATAGATACAAATTGTAGACTGCTTTAGCTCTAAAACCTGTTGTTCTGTAGTTCTGTAGGTCTTAATATCATTCTCAGTCAGAGAGGTTGCACTGTACAGTTGAACACTGAACACTCTACTGCCTCACCAGACAATTTTTCTCAAGCTTACTTATTTTATTTAGCACATAAGGTTCTTTGTGCTTGCGGATATGATGAGCTACAGGACCACTGTTCACATGCTATGGATTTCATTTATTACAAAGTGTAGGATAAAATAATGAAAAATAGCTCCAGCCATTCCTTCTCTCTCCAGGGTATCTCAGCACCCCTATGGATGACCGCACACATAGTCAGCTCCATAGAAACAAATGGAGAGGAAATGGCACTGCACTGCTCAAAGCTGGAGGACTGCGCTGGACTGGAAGCATACTTCATCCATAGCTTCTATTGAAGGTTTATTACAGAGGCTACTGGAAAGAAAACAAAAAAACATTTATATTTTTGGGGGAAAAGATGGGCCTTATAGGTACTGGAGAGCAGGCAGAAAGAGAATTCTCTATTACAAAGGTCTTTAGGAAATATTTATCAATAAACACCTTGAGGTGTTTCCAATAGCTCCAAATAAAGAATACTCTACGACTCATAGACTGACTAACACAAGAGCTGCCCGTCATTGACTCTTAATGCTCTACGGAGCATGAAAACAATGGCAGGAAAACAATATGAAAAGGCCTTGCAGGTAATTTCACAGGGTAACAAGGAATGCCAGGCTCATTCTAATTACTGACACTCTGGACATTTAAATGAAACTTGTTCTTTATAACATGCCTGATATAGAAATGCAGCATTAGATGCCTTTTATGTGCCCTCATTCCATTTGTTAGTTGCACTCAGAATATGTTTTTGGGTTTATTTTTGTAACTAGGAAAATTGGAACACCACATAAAAACAAACAAACTTGAAATTCTTCCAATGATCCCTTCATTCCAGTAGCTGAGGCTTTAAGGAATGCCATGAGAAAACTGCAAGAATTAATAATAGTAACAATAAAGCAACAATAATAATTACTATTATAGTAATAATAATGTTTTCTTTTTAATATTACATGAACCAAAAATAAGATGCAAGGCCGCATTTCATTGTTTTCTTTTATGAGCTTGCTATAACACATTGGCTGTGAGACAGCGCTGCCTTGAAATACCATTTGGTACTGTGTGTCAAAGAACCTATCTTTTATTTATATACTTAAAGCTGTTTGCAACCTGCCTTGAACGTGGCAAGGTTGATGCCATCTCCCTTTTAATGAACTCACATTGCCGAGTTACTTTTAATTCACAAACTGTGAGAACAGAATTTGGCAAAATATTTTTACACCACCCAAGGAGACATTCTGAGGACAAATTTTCTGATATCAGGGTGTCCTCTGTCCTCTGTCTTGTGTTAATATTTGCATTTCAAATACTCTTCAAAGTACTTGAATTTCTCACCTTTAGATCCTTCTTGATCTGTGTATGACCTTTATGGTTTCTTTCCTCTAAAAGGCCTGCTTCTTCCAATAAAAAGGTGATTTTTAAAAGAATTTGTCTTTATTTGTATATAATCATTGTATAGATTGCATCAAATGCTTTAGAACATACATGAAAAACACTCTTAGCTTTTCACACGCAGTTAGGAGATAGTTGTCTCTCTGTGAAGTTTGAGATGAAATACTCAAATGCAAGAGGAAAAAAACTATATCACCTACCTTAAAGAGGTCTTCAGAAACCTGCTGGGAAGAGTCTGAAGAGGAAAGATAGGAATGATACACCACCATTTTTGAGAAAGGATGGGATAATCCCATTGGTTACTACTATGCAGTAGTGTTTTCAAGGTTACTTTCAACTCCAGAGCAAATAGTTTGCAAGCAGTCCTGAAGATTTAGCTAGAAAAGAGAGATTCTTAGAAGTGAAAAAAGAGAGTCATAGGCCACTGGGTGCTGTGTAATTGGCACTCAGCCCCAGTCACAGAGGTGGGAGCTACATCCAAGCTTTCTCCATGTTGGAAGTAGGGAATATATTGAAGTTGGAGGCAGTTTAGTGAAAGCTCATTTGGACTATGCAGTTCTGTAAAAATGAAACCACTTTACATACAGCTTCAAAAGTAAGGTTGGAAGCACCAAGTCCCCACAGCTCTGAAATGTTCTATTTAAACAGCATGGAAATTCAGTAGCTTGATTCTTGTGTTTTACTTCAGTTTTTATTTTTTGCAAAAGCATCTATATATCTACATTAATGTAGATCTTGCCATATCAGTGTAAAATTACTTTAAAAGCAAAAAAAATCAAAACAAAACAGTAGTCGAAGGAAAGGTAATCTTAACCTTCAGATATCTCAGAAGAAATTATTTTGCCAAGCGGGGATCTGCAGTGGGTTAATCAGCCTTTTGCAGAAAGTGAAGGAAGAAAAATCTCTGACTAATCTCAAAGTAGTTGTCATGGGTAAAATCATCAAAATGTATAGAAGAAACAACACTTTTTAGTTTGAATGCATCACATTTTTTACAGACAGAAAAGACTTCCTAAGGACATTCTTGCTATCTTAAATCCCTCAATCTTGCTCAGTGTCATTTCTGAATGAAACCATTGTTGAGGCAACACTGAGTTGAATAGCTCCATCAACCTTCCTTAATTTTCTTGAAGATTATGGGAAAACCTCTATAAATCACTTTTATGACCTCATGAAAAACTTGCAGTTGTATGGCAACACTTGCATGAATTATGAGATAGCCACAACAAGGACCAAAGATGTCAAGAATGCCAAAGCAAAGCTTTTTGTACCCTGGGACATGGCATTGCATTCCTCAAATCTGCTGTTGGCAGAAACACCAAAGGCAGACATGGAATCTACACTTCTCTCTGTCTCCTAAATGCAAGGCAGGGATTTGGAAAAGCTGGGAAGGCACCGTTAAAATAGCCTTGAGAAGGGTCATTAGTCTGAAGATGTAGCAATTTAATTCCTCATTAGCATTATAAATTAAGCAGAATATACACATGAAAAAAATACAACAAAAAAATTCCAACATCATATACTTTGTGAAAAAAAGAATGCAGGAAAAATGCTCTTTTTTTTTCCTTTAAAAAAAGAAAAAAAAACCTTTGAAGTTTACACAGTATCTTTTGCTGAGAGACTTCATGCAGTTCCAGTGATTTAGTATCAAGCAATAGACTTCCAGTTGGTCTTTCTTGGAATTCCTTCTCAATTACCATGATCTCACACAGTGTTTTTCTCCCATGTGTTGAAATCAAAAGTCCCAATTCAAGAATCACTTGGCTTTATGAAATTTCATGGTACTGGAAACCTAAAGCAAAGCCTAAATTTTGCAACTTTTAGATGATAAACTGAGAGACAAACACCTGGAGTGTGTTAGAGCTAGAGACAATTGTACACGTACTAACTAAAAGTTATGTGATTCCAACTGCACTGAAACACTTCATAGCAACAAATTGATTTTGTCAGCACTACTTTCTGGAGGAAAACTGCAAGAAAGGTTCTGGCTGTGCTAGAGAACCCAGGCCAACTTTTCGGAGAGGACACAACAATATTTGGCTTTGTGCTTTAATTTTCTACCATATACTAGATAATTAATAAAAAAAAAAAAAAAAAAAAAAAAAAAAGAAGAAGTGAAATATTCTAGTTTTGTCAAAATATTTTTTTTTTCTATTATTGACACTAAATGAATCTTGAGATATTTCCTGGCAAGCGTACTGAATGTTTCAATTGTCACCCGCATTCAGAGCAGAGTCAGACTCCCAAATCTCCCCCCACTGCTACTGAATAAAATGTTTATCCTCTATCAATGGCAGCAACGTTCTGTTTAGGCAACCCAAACATAACCCCTCGGTGAGTTCCCGGAATAGAAATGGCAGAAGGTCCTGGGTTCAGCCTGAGTGAGCTTTGGCCAGGCTGACATACTCTCACCTCCTTCTGTCCCCCACACCCCAGTGTGCAGAGGGAGGCCACAAATGTCACTCTGAGGCACCCCTGGGGATGGATATTATTGATGTTCTGCTGGCCATGCTACAGCAAAGTGTCCTGCAGCTGCGGTAAGATGTGGAAAGCAGATTTGCTCTCCCGTTTGATTTCCACTTTCTCTCCTTCCTCCTCTCACTTTGGATAACTCTGTGACTTCTCTTGCACCTTAGAAGTTTTAGTTTGGGATAGAAGCAGCCATTGGATATGAGGAACTGGGGCTCTGTGTTGTGATTCAGACAAGCCCATATTCCATTTTTTTAACTGATCTTGACACCTCTCTTTGGAACAGAGAGCTGAGATGATACGCTTTCTGCTTTCTCCATTCCTGAGGTCTGCTCACACTGCTATTTCCCCTAATCCTCTTGCCCAGGCCCTGCTGTTTGAGCCAATTCCCTGAGCTTCTTCTCTCTCTTTTTCCCCCTGCCATTATTCCAGGTGGTTACCCATCCCATTTCACTTACTTCAGAGTGTCACCAGGTTGCTGCCAAAATCTCTTCTGTTTTCTCTCCCGTTGTGTTCACTCTTTCTCTTTTTTTAACTTTTAATCTCAGCCCTGGGTGAGGTGCACTGAGCAGTCATGATGAAGCTTTCAGGATGTTAGAAAGTAAACTGCTGGAAGAGGTCAGCGAGAGCAAAAACCAATAAAGCACAAGAAAGAAGTTTGATACATACGAACAAAGCAATTGGTAATGATGTGAAATAGTTGGGTCAACCAAGGGCTGTGCACAAATGAAAAGATTCACCTCCAAACACCTGAAAAGTTTACCTAACCTGCTTTTCCTTGACAGGAGTTAGTCTGTTGCCATGAACCACCGCTAACAGCTTTACACCTTATGTTTATTTGCACATCTCCAGGCATAGATGAGCATCTGGCCATGAGCAGCAGGGTGGATTCTTCTTTCAAAAGAAGCTCCTTAAATCCTATAAGCCTCCTGGCTTCCTTTTCTCTTCCATTCATTGCTGCGTATTACCTGAAAAGTGTGATTTAAGGCCAGGTTTTCAATATTCTCTCTTAGCACCAGAAAAACTGTTGAATTCAAAGGGGTGGCCTCTGATGTATGGGATTGTTCAGTGTAGAGGTGGCCTCCTTGAGCACCTACTTCATCGGGCAGCCATCAGATAGCGTAGCTCTCATTAAGGAGGGCAAAATTCCCTATTTGCCAGGCAGGGAAGGTTTGCCTACAAAAGGACGGTGATTTTTGAGATACATTTCACTTCCGCATTTCACAGTTTTACTCATGGGGAAAAAAAATAAAAGAAAGAAAGAAAAAAAAAAAACAAGAAAGAGAGAAAGAGAGAGAATTGTCAGCTCAGATTTTCCAATTTTCATGCTTAGAAAAAGCAAAGTTTTTTTTAAACTATGCGATGAAAATCAATATCAAGAGTGGTAGCCACAGTATGTTAGAGACTATCTCCCTCCTTTTCTCCCTTTCTAAGCTACTGGCTTAGAAAGATGGGAAATATTTTCCTTCCTTTGGTGCTTGCAAGCTGAGACCCTCTGACTCTGCTCTCAGTATGACTCCAGAGGGTAATTAAATGAAATAATATCTTTTGTGGAATTATATTTTCATAAAATTCCTTAGAAAGTACAGAACTTTCTGTTGTTTCATCTGTCTCAGTGTCATTGCTAGCATACAAGGAAGCACACTGACACTTTCATGATAGCTGTGGTACAATGACCTGAAAGGAACAAAATCCTAGTGCCTTGCTCAGATGGCCAATTCAACATGATTTTTCCCTGCTCTGGGAAGTCAGCCAGACTGCCAGCTGCAGCCCATGCCACCCCTTGTTGGACCTGGAGGGCTCTTTCTTAGACCTCAATGAGAGCAGCCTTTATTAAAAGGAGAATTACAGTATTAATAGGAATTTTTTTTTTTCCTAATGACAAAGAACTCAATTTCTTCATACTTGGAAGTGGTTTTATACCCAACTATGCCAATCTCAATATTATCTCAGATGGATACTTGTTCCCTGGAGGCCCTTAGGGGAATGACCTTATGTCCCTTACCTTTGATAAAGCACTGCTTGCATGCATATAATTCAATTAACATCATCAGCTTATGCTAATTTTGAATTTAGATGGCATGCTGGAAATAAACAGGAGTGTTTATGTCTGTCTAGAAAGAAAACACAATGACAAGCTTCCCTCCTCCATGCCATACACACCGCTATACCCACACCAGTCTGCACGCACACTGCAATCCGGCCAGCCCCTGCCCTGCGAGAAGCCTTCATTTAGCTGCCTGTGCTCCCTCCATTTCCTAGGGGGATTTGGACAAGCAGAGCAGCCAAAATAACACAGAGTGACACATAAACATCCTTTGTCAACCATTTACTTCTTGCTCTACTCCTCTGCCTGCCGCATTCCTGATTTTGTTGGTTATTTTTCTGGCGTTGGTTTCTTTAATTTAGGGTGCTCTACAGACTGTGGGCTACAAGGATGGCAAGGAAAATACATTTAGAAGTGGAAAGGATTACCCAAACCAGAAAGAGTACTTCATTTAGCATAGCCTGGCTGTTCATAAGAAAAGGCATGTCCCAGCCTCCCCCAGCCCACTGCAGAGCACAACTTACATGAGGAGAGGTCGAGAGCCGTGTTGACGTATCAGGTCCCAACAACAGCAGGGAGTGTGGTTGTGAACACATCCAGGAAGGAGACCAAGCCTTAAATCACAGAAGATGAAAGAAGCAGCCTTTGTGATCAGATGGAGGGAAAGAATTCCTTCCTGACTTCATCCTTAGCAATCAGGTGAGCAGCTCCTACGCAGCCATAGCAAGCAGACACATGAGGAGCTGTAAGGTCTTACAGGTTCATCAGCAGGAGCTTCCCATGTTTCATCCGGGAGGATTTCCCTTGCCCAGGCTTTCTGTGTATCTGGGGATGAGCAGGGCAAAGTGTTGATTTTGAGGGTGCTGTTCAGAGAAAAAAAACACAGCAGTATATGACATGTCTTAGTGCGAGACATGCAGAACTCCGTGCTGGGAATTCATCAACTAGGGATAATTTTTATCTCTGATTAAAGCTGTGAGCAGGCACAACTCTTTCGCAGTTGACAGCTCTGGGCAAGGAATGGATATGGCAGAATTGTCTAAAATACAACTCAAGTTAATTTCCTTGGATCCTTCAGTTCTCATCAACATGGGCATTTTCTGACGATCTGATTTACTTACCAGCAGTGCCCAGTCATCTATGCCAAGGCAAAGAAAAACAGAGGACATATGCTGAAAAATTTGTAACATGGTCCCCTAATCAAGTGCTGGCTCCATCCTGTATCCTGTTATAAATTGTAATCTACATTGTGTCTACTGTACACACACCATTATTCTTTCCTCTGATGTTTCAAGCAGCTTTGTCTGATTGCATTTAAATACTTTTTTGAAGTCATTATTGGTTCTCCACTTATTTATACGTTGCAGGGCTTGGTGGTTATCTCTTTTTCTTATTAGGAGAGGGACTCAAGGTTACATTTATTCTTCATATCCGAGGAGCCAATTAACTTCCAGGCTCCCCCAATGCCATCTCAATAAATAGAGGCTGCTGTAGCCGTATTTCCTTCCAGAGGGAGACCAGGATGTTCAGCCAATTCTGAATCCACTCATAGCACTGTTTCATGGTTGAGATATTCAGAGGACAGTCTCCACTGGAGAACTAGGCCCTTCTCTGACTGCTGTGTGAGCCAATTTCTTCATCATGTTTCTATTATTCTCAGAGTATCTGCATAACCCTGCCCAAAGGAAACTAATTTCTGAGCAATATTATATTGAGTATCTTTTGTTGGAGGTGGGGGACATGAAGGGTTTTTTCTTAAGGTTTGACAATAAAATACGCTCTCATTTTTTCCTCCTGTAGCCTCCTTACTTCTCCCTACAAATCCACAAAACACCCTTAAGATTATTTACCTTACTTTTAGAAGAGCTATGGGTTAGACTGGACACTGTGCTTTCTGGAGCAAGGAATTAAAACACCAATAGCGGCTTTCATGGGAACAGCTGTCCTAGAAAGAGAGAGCACCTGGGGCACAACCCCTCCATAAATAGTGTGGCTCCAACCCTCTTAAATATCCTGAGTAAGCCTCACTAGGAGTTGTGGGGAGCCATTACATATGCTTAAGTCCATATATCCCACCAATATGAAGCTTTTTCTCTGCTTGGGGGCAGAGGAATGGTGCCAGCATCAGGCCCTTGTTGAAGTTGGCAAACTGATGGGGGCAGCAACATTTATGGTGATCTCTGCCTTGATGTGTGGCAGTGCACTGCGCCTCGTCTCACTTTCTGCAAGTCCTTTTTTTCTATCCTTGAAGGCGAGGCCGTGCAGGTGGCTGCGTTCCCTGGGACAGGGAGAGTTATGTGACTGAAAGTTGGCTGAGCCCTGCCGTGGCATTGTGCCGTCCCAGCTGGCAGCACTACATCATCCATGCAGTGCCAGCCGGGATCAACCAGGAGTCAAGGTCAGGAAGGCAATGTAAGGGGAGCCAGCGCCACGTGGAGCAGCTCAGAGAGGATGTTGCGAGTGTGGGACTACCCAGCTATGGCTGTGAAACTCTGTAAGGGGGAAAAAAAGAGCCAGCTTCACACAAAAAAGTGCCATTTTGGTTGAACTACAAATAAAACCCAGGCTGAACTGAAAGGCAAAGAGGGTCACAATGGGTGGCTGTGATGAACACACAGTGAAGGATGGAGTGCCAAATCTTGCCAACAAGGGGCAAAAAATAAAAGCTCCATTTGTGAACCTAATTGGCGCGTGACACAAATGTGGTAGCAGTAGTTGAGCCATCCCATCTGGCACTTCTTATTAATCAAAAGACTCTAAAGCCAAGGAAACCTCCAAAAATATCTATCAACAGGAGCTGAGAAAGGGAGAACGTAAGGCAACCCTAACTGTGTCTCCAGAGGCTGTGCTTGATGCTAACAGGTGGCAATGAACACTGCGTGATTTAGAGCTCAGAGGGGAATAGGAATCTGAAAGATCAAATATCATTCCAAAACACAGCCAAGCTTTATGACCTACATATTTGAGCTCTGAGTCTTCCAGGACAGACCTGAATTTGAAAATGGGGGAGAGGAAATGGTTATATCAGCTCCAGCTCAGCATTTCTTGCCTTAAAATCATGTTGGCTTTCAAATAGTTACAAAAGAAATGGCTAGCTCACCTGACATGCATACTTTCTGCAGAACACAAAAAAATACAAAGAAAACCTTCTTTTGTTCAGATGCTAGACTTACTGAAACCCACTTCTTTCTTCCAATAGCACCTAGCATCCCTGACCCATTAAGTTGCGATAACATCCACACTCATACCCTGTATGAGGGTTGATTGGATGGTGACTGGCAGAAGGTCTACAAGTGATTTATGAATACGATTCAGTAGTGCTCGTCAATATGCCTTATGAACAGCCTGCTTCCTTGAATTGCAGTAGGCATCTTTTCTACAAAGATGCACACGGGTCTCAAGTGCATTGCAGGCAGCAAGAGCTCTGCAAGACAGCAACAAAGTGAGGAGAAGGAGTTCAGAAAAGGAAGCAGAAGCTCTGGAGGAGAGAAAAATAATTTGCCCAACAAGTCATAAGACTGAAGCTCAGCAATGGAAGAAGCTTGCTGTTTTGGCAAAATCTTGCCTGGATTTTGCCTCTGGAAAATAATGGAGGACTCCCTTAACTCTGTATCTGTTATCTTTATCTCTTAGCAGCACTCTGGAGTAGAAAGGTAACTGGAAAAGAGTTTATGCACCCCATAGTCAGTATTAAGCAGCAATATTAGCTATCACGGGCTCTCCTGGTAAATGGGGTCTGAACTGGTCTGACAAAGATTAGAAGTGGAGGCTGCAGAGAGTGGAGAAGGATTTGTTTGCCTTCTCTATTGTGTCAGAACGAACCCTGTGAAAAGAGGACGGTGCAGCTTTAATAATAATAAAAAAAAAAAAAAAGAAAGAAGGAAAGAAAGAAAAAAAGAAAGAAAGGTGCCTCAGTTGTCTCGGCAGCTGATCAACAAAGGAGCAGTTGTGAGCTGTAACCTCTTGGAGCTGCAGTCTGGAACATGACACATGTCAGGCTATGATAAATGGTGCGGAGTGTGTGCAATTTCAAGCGCAATGCCCTTGAGATGCTCAGGACCCCGATCGCAAATGTTATTGTTAAATTAAACCTTAAAGGAAGGATTGGAAAGGGGAGGGGTGAGTTTGTGCGTGTATGTGCGTATGCGCGTGCGTGTGTGTATTTATTTCTGTATGTATGTATGGATATACGAAGCACAGAAGGGATGGGAAAAGTGGCAAGGTGAAAAGAGGAAAACTTTGTATTTCTTTTAATTGAATTGTGCATCTCCTAGTTCTGGCTGAGCCATGGGAGAACTTCAGGTAGGATTTTCTGTCCTACGGTCATTTTATTGCATTTGCTCCATCATAATTTAATACCTAGAGATCAGCTAAAGTAAGCAACGGTAAGAGTGAAAAACAAATAAATAAGCAGGTACAGTGCCACACATGCACAGCTCATCTAGCTCAAGCATTCTGCATCCATGTACCTTTTAATGCAGATAAGTGGCTTGTTTCTTAGGCTGATTTCTGGCACGTATTTGTGAGGCAAACACACTTAAAAGATGCTCTCAGAAAGAGGGGTGGTGTTCACAGCCATAACTCACCTTGGGGAGCGTAGGCCTGGAGGCAGATTTCATCCCCAGCCAGTAGGCACAGCCCGAAGTTTGGAGCACACTACTTCTGTGGTACCAGCATCCTACTTTCCTCCTGTGATCTAAGCATCAGAGCTGGAACAGAAGCAGTAAATAGATGTTTTAAACAAGAAATTGAAATAATGCAAGTAGTGGAATAGAGAAGAAAACAGAATGATTGAGAGACAAAAATAAGCACTTTCACAACCTGAATAACCTTTTACTAGGAGAGGTGGTAAGGAAGGCTCAGTGATCCTTGCCCTCTGGCTTTTGTTTTAGGCAGGTGGAGTGGGGAGGGGGGACCACATCTCCTGAGCTCCCATCTCCTCCCTCTTGCTCCTTCCAGGGAACAAGATCCAACATACCTCCATGCTGAGGGTGTCTCTTATCACTCAGGACCTGGACTTTAACTTGCTCCTCTCTTCTATTCCTCCTGTCACTTATTTTATCACTTCAGCCTTTGTCATGTTTCAGCTCATGCAGATTCCACAGAAGTCCTTCCTTTACCTTCTTGCCTTCCATATTCCCTCCCCCATAGCATCCGCGCTAAGTGCAACCACTGTAGGCAGTGCAGGAAGCACGGAACAGAATGGAGCTGAGTAAATGAGGAGGAGAACACGGAGGGGTGAGATATGGGGTGGGGGGTGCTGGAAAGTGTTCAAGGGGAAATGCTTGCATGACTCACATAACTGAAGAGAAAACAAGGCATATGAGCAACATAAACCCTCCACTGGAAACGAAGATGGGAAAAACCTTTAAATCATAATAAAAACTCAATTCAAACAAGCAGTAAAAAATAAGAAAGAACTAGCAATGACTCATCAGGTAAGATACATTGTTTGCTCTAATTTCTACCAGACACAAGATAAACCCACTGGCCAGGAATGACCAGCATAAGAGAGTTCCATGACCTATATAAAACACTTAAGACAAGGAGAAGAAGAAGAAGCCTGGCCTCTATCAGCTGTATCCATCTGCTTATTGCTCCTGGTTGCCTCTACAGTAGTTCCTTGGTTACTACAGCCTTTAGGGTGACATGACAACATTGTAATCGAGGCCCAGATTTGGGAAATATAATGAAGGCAAAAAAAAGTGCATTAGAAACCAAAGTTCTAAGTATTATTATTTTTAGAAATCATCTTACAAACATCCTATGGCTTGTTTTGTGCTTTTTGGCTACCGTTGCCTAGCGTCCAGGAAAAGTCAAGTCCTTTTTCGGTTCTTTGGAACATTTTCCCCACGTTTCTTTTTATTAAAGAAAATAAACATTAGACAAAAGCAGACTTTATTGTAACTATAAATAATTCAATGCAGATGGATTCATGGAAAATACCAGCAGGCAGATTTTCAGAGAGAAAAAAGAGGAATGCTCTAAGGTTAGATGGTGAAGAAAACAGAAAGGGTGAAGAGTCAAGAAACCACAAGTTGTCTTGAAAAGAATAGATACAAATAAGACAGTAACAAGTGATGGGTAAACAAAAATAAAGGTAACTTGGAAAGGCAACAGAATACGTTTGAAAAGTTCAGGTTTTTTAGTTATAAACATGGTTGTTTCCTAGTGCCACGGAAAAGAAGCCATTTACTGTTGGTCTAGGAAGAGATCCTTTTCATAATATCACACAGTGATTTGTTATCTCTCTCATCTTCCCTTCTTACTCTTTAGGAAACAATTGGCTGTTACTTATAACGTCAAGATGATTACTGAATATCTATGTTCATGATGATTCTCACATCTAATACTTGCTTCATGTGACAACCCAGACTCAGGTGTGTGGCCAACTTTCTTTAGCAGCACACAGGAGTGCATTGCTCTGTTACAACCTTCTTCACAAGATCCTGTGGGCTCAGAATCCCAAGTGGTTTAAACAGATGGGTGATGGTACACCGACAGGTACCTGGGAAATAAGCTCTGTCAGTTGATAAAACTGTTCAGTATTCTGCCTCATCCTGGAAAAATGCCCTTTGCATTGCTTTCTCTCGAACCAATGGACAGTGGCCATTATTTTTCTAAGCTGCTAGAGCTCTTTAAAATACAGATAAAATACTGAGGAATTAATGGGAAGCTTGGAAATCCAAAGTCTACTTTCCACCCCGGAATCAGCCCATTAAGCAGCATAAATCTAGTTGTGCTACAGTCCAGGTGGAAGAATCTAAAAACAATTCTGAAGGGTATCAAAATGCTTTGAGACACTAATGGAAGATAATGCCCAGATACAGTGCATCTGGTTCCATTCGTACACCTATCATCCAATACCTTTGTTCATATACGTGTTTATCCATACCCATCCAACACCTTCATCCAATACCTACTCATATATTTCACATAGAGTCCTCAAACCATTTAGTTTTTCTCTCTCCACCGCTTATTCATCTGAATAAACATCAGCACACAGCCATTGAAGTCAGAAGGTTCAGAAACACACTCAGGAACTCTGAAAACGTGGAGAAGTGAACTGATGGCAGAGAAAAACAAACAGAAAAGTCCTGTTTTTCTGTTCAATAGCTAGGAGGAGTTGGTGAGGAAACGGGTGGTAGAAAGGAAGAAGGACATTCATAGAAGTGGAACAGCTTTGCTTGATTGCTAGAAAACTTTTCAAAACCACTGATTTTGCTGATGTTGCTCAAGAGAAATGCAGTGGCTCCTTTAGGTATAAGTTCTAAAGGGCAAAGGTGAATAAAAACCTGTTAGGGACTAAGCTGGAATCACTGAAAACAGCACAATTCCAAAAAAACCCCAAACCAATGGATTATGGGAATACTTCTATGCACCATGTGAGACACACAGAGCTTGTTTGTGCAGACACTCTTTGGAAAGGGATTGTATTTTTGTGATGCATTTTGGCTTCTTCTGTGTTTGTTGTTTTGTGGTTTTTTTTTCAAAACCAAGTGGCAATGGATGCTGAAGCGGAAGGCAGAGGAGCTTTAGAACAGGTCTGTGAAGACAGCTGGGTCTGTCTCTTCTTCTCAAGGTTGCTTTTGGGAAAAGCGCTGCAGTAGCAAGCTATCTTCTGCAAACACAAGGCATCAGGAGAGACAGAAAGAAAGGTTTGCAGGAAAGAGAACCACCCAGCTAGGGTGAAGAAAAGGCTTACTCTGGGCCTGTAAACATTTGAGAAACAAAAGTAGAAGCACAGGGAGAAATCATCTTGTCATTCTCTGCTTTGCTACACGCTGAGGGAACAGCACATTGTTCTCCAGCTGAACAATGCCCCATTCCCACCAAGTGAGATTTTCTCTCAATGGGAAAAGAATGTGAGCTTTACTTTGCTTTATTATCAACTCTGTGCATGTGGAGATAACTGCACAGGCTGGTCGGTCTCTGAAAAGCAAAGATGCATTTTGATCAAAATTGGATTACTGGGCATTTCATTTCTCCTTAAGAATGGTTGTGAACTGATTTCTCATTTACTCAATATGCAAAAAAAATTAACAAAATAAGAACTGTCAAGACTGAATAATGATGTTGAAAAGAAAAATAAAGCCCCCAAAATTCCTGAAAAATAATTGGAATGAAGCAGCTCCAAGTCAGATTAGTCTTAAATCTTCTTATGATGAAGGTTCTTGCAACCAAAGGCAAGTTATTTCATTAGGCTGGTTCTGCATTTTTAATACCCAGTCTATCAATTTAATATAATATTTTTTGGTTATCAGGAGCAGCTTTTTATTGCTATATATTAACAATATTGCAATAGGTTTAGGAGCAAGAGTCCACAATCAAGGCAATCACAGAATTAAGTGCTTAGTCAAGTCCCAGTCAAACTGCGGTCAGATGGGTTAAAGGGAGATGGACAGAGCTGCCAATCCCAAAATACAATCCAGCCTTCAGTCCATCCTGCAGCCAAAGGAATAGCACTCTGTTGACTTTAGCAGACTCTGCAATGGAAAATATTTCTGTCCAAAACAAAATTGGCCTGTAATCCGGGTAAGCTATTCAGGGCAAACAGTGGCAAATTTAGCCCTTTCTCCTGTTTGTAAATCGTCCATGTACGGACTTTGTTTCTTTTAGTAGCTTTGCATGTATTCTTCTGACAAATACTATATATAGAAAAATTTCAGCAGACTAGCAACATTGATTATGCCTTGTACTATCTGTGATAGATCAAGGTGATCACTGGTCCTCTAGGTTATGATGCGATTTAGCCACAGAGTCAATATGCAAAAATATCAGTCTAAGACATACTGTATCAGATCTTCATGAATTTTAAAGCGCACGTCTGAAGCTCTTCCTCAATCTGTTTACCAAATCAGTATGGCTGCTCCCAAATTAAAGTGCTGTGCCCCATAAGCAAGAAGATCAAAGTTATGAGCCATCATAATCTTGCCTGTGCTAGTAAATAATAGCAGATTCAGCTGCAAAATAAAAGCAGCTTTGGGAGCTATATTATTAACATTTCCAAAAGTTTTCCTAATGATATCAACCTTTAGTTCAGGTTGCCCAGAGCAGTTGTGGGTGCCCCATCCTGTTCAAGGCCAGATTGGATGGGGCCCTGGGCAGTCTGGTCTGGTGGGGGACAACCAGCCCACGGCAGGGGTTGGAACTGAGGGAGCTTTAAGGTCCCTTCCAACCAAAGACATTCATGATTCTGATTCTCAAAGTAGCCCAGAATGCCTGGCTGTAGATCCTGAGCTGAGCAAAGTGGCCTAGACTAACATAGATGCAACAGAGATGTCCTCTTTATTTTGAAATGTTTTATATGCGTTTTGAAGGATTCTTAGTGATAATAAGGTTATAATAACTGAAAGAGAAATGTCTACACACATGCCAAACACCAGAGAGATCCTATATGTTTGCGTCAAATATGGAGGCAAATTCAATTCAAAGACTGGGAGGCTCAGCCTGATGTCACTGAAATCTTCAATGATATTTGCTAACCTGGGCTTTATTTATTTAAAAATTACAACTTAGTGACTTACAGGTTTCATTTCTCTAAGGGAAAACACCTGTGCAGATGACTGAAGGATATCCACATACTCATTAATACATTCAAGCAAAGGAAAAGTTGATCTATAATCACAAATAAACTATTACCTCTGAGATATCTGATTCTCAAGTATGTCAGGGAAAGGAAAGCCCTGCATGGGTCACATTGACTTCTCATCTCAACGTTTACTTACGTTTCTCCTCAGGAAGAAAACTTTTCTTGCTGATGTACCACTCTCTTGTAATAAAAAAAAAAGAAAACAATCCCCTTCTGCCGACATTCCCTTCTGAGTCTGAGAACCTCTATTGTCTTTTCTCTGGTAATAAATGATAATAATTAAAGGCAAATACACAATAATTAGTCACACTAGGTTTATCCATCTGGCATACCTGTATCTCATCACTGTGTCTTTGAAACAGATGACAAGCACCATATTGCACAACATCCTGCTAATGGGTCTAAGCAGGGGAAAAGAAGGTAAAAGGGTTACCACAAAAAGAGGAAAAAAAAGAGAGAAAGTGAAAGAAAAAAAAAAAAAAGGTCAGCAACAGGGAATGAGAACATTATAGACATTATACAGCAATGAAAAAATAGCCATGGCTGACTGTCAAGTTGCAAACCACTTACTGGCAGACGTGCTTTCAAGCGGGGTTAGGAAAACATGGAAGTATGTCTCACTCTGCTTAAACTACCTCCTGCTTAAAATACCTTTACCTGACGTACCTAGTGTTGAAATGAGGAACATTTCCTGGAATATTTTAGCTGGCTATGCAGATGTAATAAGGAAAATGAGATACTTTAAGATCTTTGCTGGGACACCTGAAAGGTCTGGGTTTCGTTCAGAGGATTGTGTTATGGACCAAGTAATCAGCTATTTTGGTCCCTCTTCACTGAAGGCTGATTGATGCACACCAGGAGTCCCTCCTCATCCCTATCAGGGCAGCAGAGCAAAATTAATATAGCAAAGAATTTTTCAACAAATATTTACTCCTTTAAAAAAATGATCAGACAAGGCTGGCATTTGATTTCTGGGAACTTCTGAGAAGCAGATTTACTTGTATAAATAATCACAGAGAGCCAATTTCAGTCACATGTATTCAGATTTCGATTAAACCTTCACAAGTGCTTCACCTCTCAAACAAGCACGAGAAACTTGCATGCACTGAGGGCTGATTGCTGGTAATGACTTTCTGGTTGCAGTGCAGCCATGCCCAAGACAACTGTCATGGAGTTGGCCAAGCTACGTTACCTAGCTACACACACAAAAAAAAACCCATAAAAGCAAACAAAGGCGGTTCCTGGCCTAAGCATTTACAATCTAGATATAAGACAAGCATCAAGTCATTTTGTGCTTCCCTAGATTTAGCCTGTCTGTCTGAGGCTTGCATAGCTGCAAGCTATCAGTTGGCAGAATAGCCAATCATATATCATGAGGTAAAACAAAAAATAAGTAGACCATTGGTAATTTATACCCATTACTCACCAAGGCTTCAAGGCAAAATCACGCTCTGGAAACATCAGGCTGCTCTGTTACCCTTGTTATGGGAGGGTTTACATCTGGCTAGGATTTAGGAAACATTTCAACAGATTCTGTAGGTGTTATTGAGCCCAAAGTCATCCCAAGCAATAACATATCTGATGGGACTGCTAGCTGCTAGCTGTCCTTCATTGGGCATTCTGGTCTCAGGAAGACAATACTGTGGCGAACAAAGGCTGAACCTTACCTGTGTTTGTCTGTGCTCAAGCTTTCAGGGTTTGGTAAAAATACTCAGGCAAATTTGTTTTCGTGCAGCAATTCCAGTACAATAGGAGCTCAGATCTAATGAAAGAAATTAGAAGAATTAAAGAAAGGAATGGAAAATGTGATGTACTCCTAGCACCCTACATCTGACCATACTGACAAGAGGAATGCATCGCAAACTCTTTAGAAGGATGGGTTTTTCTCCTCATATATCTAGCATTTACCTTACATGTGGTTTTCCAGCCCAGAAGCAACTCATCTCAACCTGGGTAAACTCATTGGTGTGCATCACACCCAGTATGCTGCAATGCTCTGGCATTACTCTGCAAATGAGTTGCATCTCCCCCGGCCTAGTAAGCACAATGAGACTTTGGGACAGGGAGTGAAAACAGAGCAAAAGGCTCGAGTTTGTTATTAATTCTTCCTAAGCAAATTAACTGGGAGCAGCTTTTCAACATACTTCCTGTGCATATTTTCTATACAAAGAGAGCTTCTCTTGTTTGTTTCTCTCTTCCTCTGGACAGTCCCTTGTGATGATTTTCACAGCTCTTATGGAAACAGCTCATTGTTCTGCAGCAACTTAATTAAAGTGTACTTCCATGCAAAATTAGGCTATTGTATTTATTTAAACTTCATGGTAATTGCTGTACAAGGGCTGTGTCTACATCCGACACCACACACCCACATCTCTCCCCCACCCCACCCCACCCCACCTCACCACTCCCAAAGGAAATGGCTCATCCTGCCCTGGTGGAACTCCTCATTGACTCAAGTGATGCATTTGAACTTTAACCTCTGGACAGCAATATTTGCTTGCCATGCCAGCACCTTTATGGATGAAGGGTATGCGTGAGTAGCTCTGAAGAAAGAAATGTGTTGCTTGTGGTTTTCTTCTCTGGAGCTTAAGCTAATTCCATTTTGAATATGGTATTTCACACTTTCTTTACTAGGTCCCTTGGCCTTTCCTAGGCTGGTTTTCTTTGTGACCAAGTACTCTAGTACCATAGGAAAGCTATTTTCTTAAAATCTTTCAAAGTTCATGAGCTCCACCTACATCATCTACAATGTTAAATGTACAATTTCAAAGAAAACACAGTTGTCACGTATCACTTTATGTTCAAACATTATCCAAGTAAAGGGTAAAATAAAGCTCTGTAATTTAGTTTCTCTCCTTTTCTTTGGGGGATGGAGGGGTGAGAAAAGGTGGAGATCACTGCAAGTTGTTTGCAGAACATTTCCACGCAGAAATATGCTGATTTTCAAAGAGCTGTTAGTAAATTCAAACCAGCATCAGATTTCACTGACTCCACTATGGCTGAATATGTCTAAGCAGAGTTGCGGTGAGGAATAAAAATAAAATAAATGTAATTAAAGCGTCCAAGTGATCTGGTGTCAAGGTGATTGGCATGCATTATTTTGTCCACAGAGAATGAGCTCCTCAAGAGAGTTTTGCTGGAGCTGCACCAGCAGACGGGAGCTCTGCCCCTCTCCAAGATCATAACGAATGCTCAAATTTGAGTGAAGAGAGCCCAGTCACACCACGGGAAGAGGAAAGCTGAGGTTTCTGGCTCATCATTGTCAGGATGAAATTGCACTTTCTGTCATGCTCTAACATCTTGTTTAAATCAGTGTTGTTGCAATGCACTTGCGTAGAGGGGTTTCATATTTAACCTAATTTTTCAGATTTGCTGATTAATATACCAGTGTCCAGCAGTTCATAAATCGGTTGTCTAAACACAGACAATAATCCAAGGCCTGTTCAGAAATTATCTCGTCTGTTTTCTGCCAGGCTTCTATTTATGCAGTTGATAACCTCCACTTTCTTTCCATCTAAACTGATTATTTTCTTTCATGCTGTCCCACAGGGCTGTATGCTTGTGAAACTCTGAACTGGCTCTCTCTTCTAAATCGTCATCAGGAGCGAATTACTATTGCAACATCATATCACTATCGCTCAGATTTGCTTTGATTTATCTGCAGGCTGATCCCAATAGCCCAGCTCTGCTTTCCTGCTGAGTGGGTATGTTAATGCAGCTATTGTCCCAAATCTTGTGGTAGGCTGACCATAGCCAAACTCTTTCTTTGCAGTTTGCCTGTTTGGTTGATGGACTCCATCCTGACAACGAGGGCTGTGTCCACCACTTGGAAGAAGATAGGAGAAACCCTTCAAAAAGCAGAAACACGGTAATTCATCGCCTCTGAGAAAGCTTGAGCGTAATCCTTTGGACACAGAGAACAGCTTCAGCTGGAGATTTTATATCCATTGACAACTTCTTTAGTGCTAACTCTGACTATTCCTCTTCTCTGCATAACTGACTGATCACTGTATAAATGTCACTGAAGTTTCATGACTCTGAGATAGATCTTCCAGCAAAATTAATATCCTTGACACTGGAATATCTGCTTTGGCATTCCTTGTCCTCTTTCATTTTTTGTTGCAACCACAACCAGAGTACTGATTGTACAACAAAAGGATGTTTCCAACCCCAGGAAGACTCCAAAGAAGTTTGGTGTTCAAAAGTGCATATAGAGGCTCTAGATGGGGTTTGAGAACAGCCTGCTGCAGGTGTTAGATATGCAACTCAAAGGAAGTGCATTCCTGTCTAGGACCTCTCACCTTGGGGTAACACAGGGTTTAGTAAATACGTAGAAAAAAAAAATTAGAAAAATGGGTAATCTGTTTTTGTTGTTGCTGTTTTGGTGTCCACCCTCTCATTGGACTAGGCTCAGTTTCTAGGTAGAAAGGAATTTGGAGGATTGTCTGTGTCGCTTCAGTTTCACTCATTTTCACTCAGGGCTGTAACCTCAACTGTCTGCAGTCTGCTCTTGCATGTTCCTTCTTGTGCTGGTCTAGGAAATTAGGAGATGAGCTCAGCATCTCAAATAAGCTCCCAGTTTCACCTGCAATCCTTCCTGAGCACAGTGCCTTGGGCCCCCACTCTATGTTGGACTGCTTCATTAGTGCAATCCCTTCTCTCCTCAATGAAGGGCTGTTTTACTGAGCTTATTTGTACACACCAAAGGTTCTGTGCGGAAAGGCAGAGACGACAGCTTCCTTTGATGCAAACCTAGTAATACGAGTGCACTTGCTGGCATAATACACCTGCACTACAGCAGGAAATGCAAGTGAGGTGATATTTGATCTTCTGCATTCTTACGATGCTCTTTTTCACATGGTTGATATGGCTAACACCAGGCAGTGCTGTATCAAGGCCTGACCCCAAAGGAAGCATTTGGCAGCTTTATAAACCAGCCAACGTCATCCTTTAACCCTTGCAAAATGCATGGGGGCCACACCTTACGAGGCCTAAGGAGAAGAAAGAAGAAAAGCAAAAATCTCAGCCACGACAGGAACAGGGAGAAACTTCAGCTCTGTTATCACTCCCCTTCATCTGCTCAAACTCCTCACTGCAGGGGTTGTCATGGTGATGCAGGTTTGACCTCTCACTTTTTACTCTTCCAGGAGCTAAAAAGGTAAAAATGAGCCATTCTGTCTCGAATGAAAATCAGCCTCCCTCTGTCAAAAGACGCTGAATCGCTTTTTTCCCCCTTTGTCAAACCTGAATGTTTCCATAGGTGACATGGAAATAAATAACTGGTGCTGAGCATCATTGGTGGATTCGGCAGGATGCAGCCATGGGAGAAGGCTGAAGAGCGGCAAGAGCGGTCCATACCCAAGTTTCCCATTAGTCACAAAGCTCCATTGTCCCAAATTTCTCCTCCATCTCTGTGGTCAGGTCCTCACTCAGCCAGCTAAGCGTGGGGTTTGTGTTTCTGACAGCTCTAGGGCAGAAAAATCAAACTATTGATTGAACTGTGTAGCGGCCTCATAAGGCATTATTAGCAGCCTGCTGTAAGTGAGACTAGAAAGGGTAAAATCGTTTCTTTTTATTAATATCCTTGAGTCAGGCTTCAGCAAAACCCAAGGTTTGGCCAGGTTGGTAGCTAAGTGATGGCACCATCTCCCTGTCTCTGCATGAAGCTGGTAATGCACACATAGGGGTTTATGTCTGTACGAGGGGGTGGCTTATTTACTGGGATAGAGCCCCAGTCTGAACTGTGAGCCAAAGTAATCTCCTTCTGTCGATTACTTTTGAATCTAAGTCCTCTGCTTTGATAACCAAATCCTTCCCTGCTTTCTCGTTCCCTCCTCCAGTCTCTCCTCTCACCAGTGCCAGGGTAGCATGACATGTGAAAGCAGCATGACTTCAAATCAAATATTCAGGTTAACGATGAGCTGGCCTTGAATGAAACCTTTGAAGAACTCTGATGCAGACTCCTCGATGCTTTGCATGGCTCCATCAAATCTCTCTCTACCAAAAAGACTCCCTCAGTTCTGGCTTAAGTGAAAGCTACTGAATTTATTTGACTGAAGAGAAAAAAAACTAAAGCATATACATAAAAAAATATATATACACACGTGAATATATATATTGACTGTGTGCATATTTATATATGCCTTATATATATAAAGCATCAGCCTTAAAAACCTGCTAAACTGCAATTGAATTCTGGAGTCATCTGAAGTTCAAACGTTTCTCACGGTTTTGGTATTAAAGTTCCTGATGACCAGCATTGCTGGACCATGTACTGCTGTATAGGTCCTCACAGCACCAAGCAGAAGTCCAGCTCATCTCCAAACACTGTTATCCTCAGATTATCTCTCTGGCAATTCTTTATCTACATTCTCATTTCTACCTTTGTCTCTCTCTCCAAATGAGCTTTTGTTCAGTGAAGTAGATTCCACATTTTAGTGAAACAACTCAATTCAGCCACGGTCTGGTGGCCCTTCTCCCAGCACCAACCCCACAGACACACACAGTAACCCGCAGTTACACTCCAGTGCATGAGACACGTCCCTCAAAGGATGGGGGCTTGAAGACCTCTGATGTTTCACAAGAGTGAGGATATAACTGCCTACCTTTTGCATCAGCCACCATCTCAATCAGTAACTTCTAATCTGTTTGAAAACTGAGGAATATGGGTAACACCACCATAACCTACCTTACTCCTTGGCATCACCTCTCACGTGTGTAGTTCTTCCCTTCCTTATCACATTCTTGTGATAGTTCTCAAGCTGCTCCCTCCTCCACTTCCTTCTTTCTGGTTTTGGGAACCAAAACTTCCTTTAACTCCAGCAGTGACCGTCGCTCCAAAAGTCACTGTGACCACACTGTTCATCCAGCAGAGTCATGGGACACTACAGATTGCTTCTGGCTCTCAGCTAGAAAGTTGCCGATGTCCTAAGTTATGAAGACAGATGGTATAAGTGCCAACACTTCAAGAGCATCTCACAGTAGGGCATTCCACAGGTTAATTATACCTGAGAAACTTCTTCTTTTACAACATTAGATCCCAGTGAGCCTGGTTTGCCTCTATAAAAGATGGTTTTCATATTACGTGCAATCCATTTCCCCAGCACAGATAGGCATTGTCTATGATTACGCTTTACAGGCAAAAAAAACCCCCATATTATCTCAGACATACCCTTTTGTCTTAATTTCAGCTATACCAGAAGCAAATCCAGCTCTATTTACACTTATTTCAGGGATCGGGAGTGAGAGGGATTGAAGAATACAGTGCCCTAATCCCATTGTTTTCATATCATAATGCTCTGAAAAAAAAAAAGAAAAAGATAGTTGAGGGATGTTAGGAAGGTTCCAACTTCTCTATATTTACAATCCTAGGTTCAGCCCTGAAATGCAAATTATGAAGAACTTCCCCTCTACCACCCCTTTCTCTCTCTCGCTCTCTTATCCTACATTTTCTGCAGCCTGAAAGATGTAAGTCATTAGATAAATGACTGCCAGTGGAGCGCTAGAGCTGTAATGTAAACTACAACGACTAAATTCATATGAAAAAAAATAATACATCCCCCAGAGAAAAGTTCTGCTTTTCACATTTAAATGTACTAGTTATCAGCTATTCCTGCTCACAGGGCATTAAAATACATTCTGCTTCCTAAGTCCTGATGCAGCTCTAACTGGACTCCAGCTCGGAGCTAAAATAGCACATATTTCACAAAGTGGCGTAATGTAAAACTGTCGTCTAAACATCTCTCTTCTCTCTAGGTCTCTCTCTAGGGCTTTCTCCACAGAATCCTGCTTCTTCTTTACAGTGCCGTCATTTATGTCTTTGTTTATTAGTGGAACGAACTTGTCAGTAATTGTCTTCCCACCAGCTCCCACCCCAGCTCCCTCTATGCTCCTCTGCCCAGCTGGGGTCAGCAACAATGGGAAACACTCCTGCCAAAGATGCTTCAACATTGGCCCTACAGCATGCTGTGGGGTGAGGAGGCCGCTCCCAGAGATTCCCGAGCCCAGAGGTCCCTGCTGGAGCCATAAACAGAAATAGCACTGATGGGAGTGAAGGGGACTTGGCAAGGAGGTCACCGTGCAGCCTAGATGCACACACATGGACCCAGCCCAAGGGCTGGAGGAGGTGTATGGTGGGGCTCGCAGGACAGATGGGACGACCTTCCCACCTCACCATTCTAACTCACTGCTTTAACCCACGTGCTCCCTGGACGCAGCCTGCAATCCCTCTGTCCTTCCTCTCCTCCCAGGGATTCGCCTCACGGACGGCTCGCTGCGGGTTCCAAAGGGGCTGACAGCATGGTAGCTGTCTGTCCGTGGCAAATGCGAGATAATTTAAAGGACTTTAATCCTTTTTCTTTGCCAGTCTGCCTGATGAGTTCGTGCAGGGTGGTTCGTACACAGTAAATTCACACCGTAATTTACTGTGTACTAATTTCTCCAAGCTTTTAATTTCACAGTGTCTCAGTTTCCTCATCTGTAAAAGAGAGATAATAAATACTTTCCTTTCTGGCAGGAGTGCTCAAGATCCTTCAGCAGTAAACATAAAAGCAACCATTTTAAAATAGTTACTTACAGAAACTTAATTTTCATTGTAAGCACTTATTTGTGCCTGATCTCTTACTACAGCAGCATGACGCCAGCAAGGAGAAGCAAATCAAATATAAGAAGTAAATAAGCCTGCTAATAATGCAGTGCTGACCATCACAGCTTTTACGTGCAACTGCTATTGCAAACATTTGAAAGCTTTCTGCTTCCACCCACCTGTGATTCCATTCAAAGCAAACGCCCCTAAAACGATGCATTTGCAATAAAGACACACGGGAGTGTTTTCTTTTCAAAAGAACAACGTGTCAGGAAGGCCTAAACCTTGTATTCCTTGGGTTTTGTTTTGAAGGAGTGCTGCATGATCAGACCCAGAAAACAGTGTGGTTTTTATTTCGGATTTTTCTAGACTGCTGTAGCCCAAGGGTCCGTGCTATAAACTGGAGGAGAGCAGATTTTAAGAGGAACATGGTAAGGGCTGTTTCTGATTGGAATGTTTGCTTAAAAGTTTTCCTGTACAGGAACTTTTCCAAACTGGTCCCAGTTTCAGCCCTGGCCAGATTTGCCTTATAGGCTCAGCTCCTGAGATCTGCCTTTATTCTTTCTGCTACAGCTGAGACAACAAGAAAAGAAAGTTTGCCTTTAAAAATTGTTCTTCACACTGAAATTATGAGTGCCAAATTAAAACCTAAATACTTCTGAGGTCAGAAAGCCAACAGAAAATCAGGAACTTCCCTCATTAATACCCACATACTGGAAATTCTGATTAACATATGAAACAGAACCCTCTGAAACATATATATACGAATTAAGACTTTTTCCTCGACTGCTGAACAAAACTTTTAGATCTCTCCTTCTCCATTAACAAAGCAGTTCAAACCGAGTTCCCTCCTTTTTAATTCTGCAGGTATTCCTAAGCGATCTGCACGCAGGCAGGCAGAGAACGGTTAATTTCCATCCTCCGTTGCCTCCTTGGGAGTTTCACCCCGCGGTGTAATTCCGCTTCGTTCTTTCCCGTGGAGCTCAACTGCCCTCCGCTGGATGCGAGAGGCAAACGCACGCCTTCGTTTTACCGACAAAAAGAAAGTACGAACCCGGGGCGTAATTCGGTTATCCGGTCGCTTCTCCTGCCTGTCCCCATCACAGAAAGTCCCCGGGGTTGGCATGGTTGGAGTGAATCGTTTTGAAAATATATGGCTGCCAGGAAAATCACTTTCACTCCATCCCCAAATGGCTGTTGAGATTCTTGTTCGGGCAATAACTTCTAAACAGAATATCTCCTTCTAGAACTGCAGAGTTCGACAGACAGGAGAAAAACTATTGGGAGGAGGCACAATTAGGGGGCTTGGTTTAATTCATCTTATTGCAAAGTTAGGGACTTGAGAGCACGGGCTCTTGCACTCAGGAGTCTCCTTTAATGTGCTTCTGTAAAGGCTAATTTCTGCAAAGCTCAGAAATAAATAAAATGAAACCTCTAAGTGTTGACTGCAATAGCACTAGCAGCAGCAGCAAGCTGGCTGGCTCCAGCAAAAGCTCTTGTCCATCTGCCCGACATTTCGATGCCTCAGCTGACTTGAATTAGGAGAGAATAACTTGGAAGGGTTTTCAATCCATCCAGCCCCAAGTTAAGGAGCCCTCTGGAGCAACGATTTCCATCACATAAGCTGCACAGGGGGCTCCTGGTTGTGCTCCTGATGGCTTCATTAGAAGCACAGTGGTGGATCAGTGCAATACCAAAAAACAGCCCGAAAAAGGGGAGAGTTGCCCCTGACCTCCTTTTGCAAGGCACAGAAATAGTCGGGTGCAAAGGGGGAAAAGAAAAAGAAAATCAGCTGAGAGCACTTCACCATTCCCTGTACCTAACATTATGGTGCCTTCTCCCCTCAAGCATGCACGCCTCCCATGCACCACATGTTGCAGTGAACTTTTGCTCCTCAGAAAATGGGACAACACATTTTCCCGTGCAGGCGGATGAGGACGTTTGCATCCATTTCCTGCAGCTTGGAGCTGAAGGCTGCCATTTTCTGATCAGGTTTAACATTGTTGGTGCCTTGAGATTTCTCTTTTTTGCTGCTGTTGAGGCCCTGTGCTGCATTGTCTGGTTGAGTCTGCCCATCACACATAAGGAAATTGAGTAGAACCCTGACCCTCTGCCTTCTTTGCTGTAGGAGTCTGCTTTGTGCTTTCCTGCATTTCTGCAAACCCTGCAGTCTATGCGTAGATGCAATCCTACCAAGGTGGAGATTTAGTTTGCCTAACTGCAGGATCTGACCTTCGGAAGAGCATTCTAAGTCCCTGCAGTTCTGATTTGGAGCTTAAGCTTTGGCCTGGAATAACAAGGACTGTGAAGGAAGCAATAGGTTACGAGCTGGGTGAAACCATACCTGCTTCTTGCCAGAAGAGCTAACAGGATTCAAGCAACTTCTATTTTCGTTTCCCTTTACAGAAAGAAATAAAGATATTCAAACTTCCCATACGAGCTGCAATAATGAAAATAATGTGCACATTAATTTGTACGGGGGTCAGTGAGTCTCCCCAGCTCAACGATTTTCAAACAGAGTGCGTAGTAAGCCCATAAAGCATTTATTTTTCATAATTTATGAAGCATTACATATTGTGAGTCCACAATGCCAGCTGACGTAATATGCAATAAATTTGAAATAACAAAACATTTCTCATGTTTTTTTCCTCCTGATGTGACAACGTGGGACATAAATTTTAAAGAAAGTTGCCGGAGAAGACAAAGGCAAGGCACAAGAAAAGTATGCTCTGAAATCAGTGAGTGCTTCTATTCCACCAATCAGTTAATGAGCCGTTCCCCCGCTCATGGCTGCAGCGTTCATCTTTTTGAAGCCAGAGCAATTGGATGCCAGGGAGAGATGCAGCCCTGATCTGAGAGCACAGCCAGAGCCATCCTGCCCTGCCCTGGGAAAACCCAACCCAGCACCTACAGCAAAGGGGTGAAAAAGGCAATGTTGTGCAAAGCTCCTTTTCTTCCATAGCAATTATCATCCCCTTATTTCTGTGGAGAGCAGCGGTGCTCTTTGCTCTTTTAAGGATAACTTTCCCGTGGTAATTTTCAGGAGTATATAATTGTGAGACCATAACAGAAAGCACTAAGCAAAACAACCAAACTCACCTATATGTGGCTATGAAAGCAAGCTGATCAAGTCTCATGTTAGAGAAGATGTACTGCAAGGCTGAACTCTGAAACTCTCAGTAAACTCAAGTTACTTCCACCATGCAGCAAGAGTGCAGCATTCAGCACTGTTGGGTTTTGTTTGCTCTTGTTTTGTTCAAAGCTGCACCAAACCAATGTCTGCTTGGAAAAATGCTGCAAAGCAAGAAAGAGGAAACTATGGAATCACACAGTCATTAAGGTTGGAAAAAACCTCGAAGATCATCCAGTCCAATCATCAACCTATTAACAGTATTGCCCTCTAAACCACAGAACTTACATGGATGCATGATGCAGAGCAGGAGTGAAGGGCAGAACAGAGTAACAGAAAAGCGTCTTTCCCTGGGGTCTGTACTCCAACTTTCCTTATAAACAAACATGGAAATACTTACAGATCACAGAAAGAATGCATTGCAATTAAAAAATGATCTGTCTTTTTAATTTCAGTGTCAGCCTTCAAAGGTTTTGATTAAACTTTACGCCAGAAACCTAAAAGGGAATGAAAAAAAACCACACCTCTATATGAACAGTTCTCATCAGAAAAGATGTGAAGCTTAGCATCTTGGAAGCCGGTTTCCTAGGGCAGACAGCAAGCTATGTGAGCAGGGACATCTACTGGCAGAAGAGCCAGAGCTGGCCCTGCCCTGAGCAGAGTGAGAGAACTTTGCATGAAAAATCATCTGTCTCAGTGACAGCAGTGGGTTTTGCCTAATCCAGTAAGAGGAACACACAGGGGAAAGGGAGCAAAGGAGACTGGCCTGTGCCCAGGGTGAAATTAAGTTTCCCATCCCAGGCTGAGGTAATGGAGGAGGATGCTGGGTGCAGTCCGAACCATCCCATTTCTAACCTGTTTCTGCTCTCCCACAGAATTCTCCCCATGCACAGAGGCAGTGAGCGTGGACACAGCCCTCCACCAGGGAGGTCTGGCCATTCCTCCCCTTCCCCAGCAGCAGATACTCCAGGCAAGCAGCCGAAATGTTGTCAGAAGTGAAAGGCTCCTTTGCCTCCTCTCTGCCCTCTAATAAAACCACAGGCGACAAGACATATTTAATCCCTACTGGAAAGATATGTACACTGAACTGATTAGACAGAGCAGGCACCAGCCTGACCCCAACATTTGAAACACTGTCTACCGTTCTCCAGACAGGACGAGGATCACAAGGAGGGCAGGCTGAGTGTGAGAAGCTACTTAGAAGTGTTTGTTTTTCTCATCTCCAAATCAAGACAAATTTCTCAACTCCTTGTAGGAGTCCTGGTTCTCTAACTCATAAATGGAAAGAAGTGAGTGTCTTTTTTTGTTTTGTTTTTTTTTCCCCTTCCTGTGTCTTCTCTCTCCCCATACTGCTTTCTGCCTTCAGGGTATCTGTTCTATACTTCCAAAAAAATCCATCTGGTTATTTTACTGTAACACACTTACCAGAACTGTAAAATCATAGGGGAAAAAAAAAAAAAAACAACCCCAAAACCATTTGAAAAGGACCTCTGGGGGTTTCTAGGCCAACCTCCGCTTGAGGCAGTATTAACATCAACACTAGATCAGTTTGGAGACGGTCTTGTGTAGATGATCCCTGAAAGTCACCAGGGAGAGAAATCCCACCCCTTCCCTGAATGACATGTCCTACTTCTGTGCTGCACTCTAGGTGAAGAAGTTTAGTTCTAGTTTTAAACATGAACCAGTAAAATACTTCTTAGTTGTGCATAGTACAGCACCAGCCTTGGAGGAATGGTCTGAGATTTTCTTTATTTTTCTGTACTCCTGTCTGACTGCACGTGCTGGACACGAAGGCTCAGGCAGGACAGGCATTGTCCCACAGATAAATCTTCAGTGCATTTTAATGAAGAGATCCTTCAAGGCTCCCTTCAGAAGCAGATTTGGTACTTGAATTTCTACACAAAAACATTAAAAAAAAAAAAAAAATCAGTACCTTCTTAAAGTCAGTTCTAACTTTACATGACATGTATGCTACCTAAGTTAAAAACAGCTGATCTAGTAAAGCAGGCTAGAAGCCTTCTCCCCTGAGTAGTGACTGGCAGGGCTTCCAAATAATTAATTTGAAAACAGAAAGGGAACAGAGCAGCAGTGCTCAAGTTCAGTTTGTAACTGGATTTCAAAATCGTGCATTGGATGACCTGCATTGGAGCTTCAGTTCAACCCATGTTTTTCTCCAGTACCTTCCCAAAGAAAGTCCAGAATTGGGCTTAATCTGGTCTAGCTATCACATCCCCACCAAGCAGTGGGGGAGTTAAAAGGCCGACAGGGTTGGACAGATCAAGCAGGAGTGCTAGGATGGAAGGGAACACAACGAAGTTTTGATGGATACATTGGCAATGAGATATAGTCCCAAGATGGGATTCGTATAAATACCTCAGATATATGATAAACCCAAGTCCTATTTCAGGGTCATCAGTCCCAAATATACTCACCCTCCCTTTGATTACACAGGGGTGTAAGCAGATGCGTTGTTCCAGGCTCTTCCCAAAGGCAGTTGCTGAAATCCAGGCAAGTGATTCTTCAGAAGTAAACCATTCTGAAGCCTTTCACCCAGCTGACATTATGGTGATCAGAAAATGATACATAAGAGTATATTTCTTCACAGTTCTGGGCTTCATTTAAAATATTTCACCTGCTTGCCTTTCTTCCTTCTTTTTTTTTTTTTTTTTTTTTTTTCCCCAGTCATTACACAAAATCTGAAAGATAAAAGAGGAAATTCATTTTGTTACTTTAAATACTTATCTCAAGCTCTCAGTTTGACTACGTCAAATGCATGCAGCATGCTAAAAATGCACAAGGGAAAGAGTCCCAAGTATATAGTTAAGGGATTGTAAGAAGAAAAAATAGAAAACAACAACAGCAGATCATAGAAGAAGCAGTGTCTGAAAAATGAGAAACAACAAAAAAAGCAGAGAGCTATAGCATGGTAGAAGAAAAAATAAATATACCACATAATTTATTGCAGGGAGAGTTCTGAAGAAAATGTCTTGTGAAATAAATACAATGCTCATGAGGACAAGAGATCTCATTCATATCCAATCTGTCTTGTGTAAAGAACTAGGCAATAATGTTCAAGTAAGTGAGTCACTGCAAGATCTCCCAGTTCGGCTGAAGATTGCTCAATAGAAATAATAACAAGCCACAGAAAAAAGACAGTGTAAGTACAGGTGGGAAAGGGATACAAACTCAGAGCAATAAGCACATACAAAATACCGAGAGATTGCAGTACAAAGTAAAGGCATGATATGTGTCCTTCTCTATCTTACAGACTGCTTTTCTTTCTGTGCTTCTTTGTGACGGTGAAGATCTGCTGCCATGCTCAGGCTGACAGCCCCCCCGTGCTTGTGCTCGAGACGGCACAAACATAGACAAGCTGGATAGAGGGTGACTTATTTTTGGATCTGAGGTCGGGGCCATCTCTGTGAAGGGACATTGGCTTCCCTCACAGTTAGCCATCAGGATTCAACATCCGATACCTTTTGGTGCCACCAGAAACCTGTTGGTGGAGGAGCAGAGTTGCTGATGCCAAGCTCTCTTCAGGTGGTGGTGGCTCAAGCGTTTAGCTAAAGGATATTTACTGTGCAGCATCTGCACCTAAATAACTCAGAGGATAGCATTTAGTGTGTGCCATGTGACATTTTGGTATGAAACAGGGCCACTATTACAGTCACAGAATCACTAAGGTTGGAAAAGACCCCTAAGATCCTGTAGTCCAACAGCCAACCCACCCCCACCATGCCCACTGACCACATCCCTCAGGGCCAAATCCCCACGGCTCTTCAACATCTCCAGGGACAGTGACTTCACCACCTCCCTGGGCAGCTGTGCCACTGCATCACTGCTCCTGAGAAAAAATTCTTCCTAATATCCAACCTGAACCACCCCTGGTGCAATTTAAGGCCATTAGCTCTTGTCTATCGTGTGCAGAGCGCTGTAGCCACGTTGGCAGAGCTCCCCACCCAGCAAGCAGATGGACCTGGGAGCTAGGGCCTGATTCAGCCTGCCTACACCCGCAGAATGTGTCTGGGCACCTTGTGCAGTCAGAGAACAAAGCATCCTCAAGTGAGTGATGCATCACCCTCTAAAATCTGAATCTTGTGAGAAACACTCAGGTTCGTTTCCTCGCAAAATTCAGCAAAGCCTGTTTTTTACTTTTTCATTAACTGCTTCTGGTCGGTACTTCAAAAATGTTTGAGGAATGAAAAATGAGGAGGAATTGAGTATCTTTGCTGCAAAGCAGCTCTGGCCATGGGCTCGGAGCTTTGGAAGGGGCAAGGTGGGAAAGGAGAGGGGATTAACAGGACAGCAGCAGGATCTGCTGATTGAATAGAGTTTTCCAGCCCAGGATTACAAGTCTACAGCATGAATCCCCTTCTGTATGCTGTTTTTAGCTGCTGCAAATGTTTTCATAGCCAGGCTGAAATGCAGTAGGAAGACTGTTTTGTCTGCTCTTGCTTCCTCCTCTTCCTCTGTTGCTGGAGCCGAGGCAGCAAGCAGCCAGCAACAGAAGTAATGCAAAAAGCAGCTGTGGGGAGAAGGCAGGAAGGATGCAGGGAATGGGATGGAGTGGACAGGGACAGGGCATTGTCCTCCAGCCATCCGACACCTGCAGTGAAACCATACCTTCCACCCCTGGCAAAAAGCTGAAGGACACATCCCAGCTTGGGCTGCTGGGTGGTCCAGCACTCCCAGGAGTGCTTCAAGAGAAAAAATGCTATCAGCTCACAATGGGAAAGCATCCTCTTATCCACACAGCTCACCATTTTCAATTTTAAGTTAGAGTTTTGACTAGTTTCATTTTAATTTTTTTTTTTCAGGGGACGAGGGTGGGGAGATAATTTTGTAGAGGATAATATGTATCTGAAATGAGACAGATCACTGCTAGAGCCAAGAGCATGTTATGATGTCAGAACTGCGAGGAGGACATTGCATGCATTTTAAAGAATGAGAAACAGAAAACAGCAACAGCACCTTGGTGTCTTGACCAAGGTTGGAGCATGAGTCAGCCATGGAGGCAGGCAGGGAGCAATGCTGGTGCCTGGAATACCACTAACTGCAAAAAATCCTGGAGTGAAAAACCACATTAGTGTTCCTTCTTGATGAACAACATTTGTTGAAGCTGTTCAAACTGCTACTATGGAAATTTTTGCCATGCACAGTGGATGATACATAACAGGCAATGGAAACATTGCCCGCAGGTGTGGCAGTGTCTGTTTTAATTGCAGGGATGCTCTTCATGGGGCTCCCACGGCCAGCTGAAGGAGTCAGCTTGCGGCTGTGATTGCTCAGTAGCACGGGATGCTGTGGCCAGAGTACAACAAATAAATGTGGGGATGGCAATTAAACAGACACACCAGTGTCCCTGAAACACTTGTAGGAAGGAAATGTGTTTGCAGCTGTGCATCAGCACACACCATACTACCTAAGTTTTGGATTTTGCAAATGCAGTTAACGTGACTTTTTCAATTCAAAGTGCTGTAAAGATCTTGTAGCCTGTTCTTCAATCATCGCATGTTTCCCTGCCAGAGGATACATCCACCACTAAGATCAACCAGTCCAATTGTCAACCCACCTCCACCATGCCCACTGACCACGTACCTCAGTGCCAAACCCCCATATTCCTTGAACACCTCCAGGGACAGTGACCCCACCACCTCTCTGTGCAGCCTGTGCCATTGCATCACCTCTCTTTCTGAGAAGTTTCTCCTAATAACCAACCTGAAAAATATATATAAATATATATTTAAAAAATTCAGAGGTAGAGTTTTATATGCTTGTATATTTAACACACTTCCTGATATGCCTCTGAAATAAATCCAGTAACAACAATCATTTCCATCTTGGCAGTGAGTAAACTGAGGCAGAGAGCCCTGGTGTGCCCTAGGGCAAGCACTGGAGCTGAGCATCATGACCCAGCTCCCTTCACACACTGTGCTATTTAAGGACATAACTACCACATCAGTAATGTCAAGAAGACTTTAAGTGACTGAGAGACTGCTTTAAGTGCCCAGCTTGCAGGTTACATCTCACCTGTGGGAATTTGAAGGCTATATGGACATTTGATTTCATGAAAAGCGATCTGAAATGCTGCTTTAAAGCCTTTTGCATTTGATGGTTGCACAGCAAGTGGAATTATCCTCAGCATGTCACAGTCCAGTGGGCAGAGATGGTTTGTAAAAGCTGATAAGCCTTGTTAGGGTTTACAACTTCGTATGAACTTCAGTGATAAATACTGCATTCATGAAATGCCAAATGCTGCTGAAACACTGGCATGGGCAAAACAGATTACAGTTAATGTGGGAGCACATAGGTACACCATGCAGCAAATTACAGTCATGATGCGCTTCCACTTGCTGTGAAAAATAGGGGGTTTTGAGCCAGTTGTATCCCAGTAAAGAGAGATCTAATAGAGCTAATGACTTGCTTGTAAATTAACGAAGCAAGAATGATGTGACCAAACTCCTGCATGAGTACAGAAGGAAATGATTATCAATATTTGTTCATGGCTCTCATTCATACTTTACCTGTTGTGGTGAGGAAATGTGTTTATGGGCACACACTGCCAAGAGCAAAACAGGGCCTTCTTTTCCTTCCATTTTAACAAAAAGATGACAACCCTATTTACTGTGAAACCATCAAATTGTCTTTACTATTTTTTTTCCATAATTGATTAAAAGAAATTTCAGAACAATGTAGATGAAAGCAAAGCTTGATGTTCTGAAGTGCTGAACTTCTCAGACCTGTTTTGACCTGTGTGATGGAGGTCAAAGAGAATTTCATCTTTAAGATCAGCCCTAACTGTGAATGGGAACTTGCTGGCAACAAGTGACAACATTGTCTTCTGCTTCAAGGTGAGATGCCTCAGACTGGCATCCTAGAGATTACCCTTTGCTTTGGTCTAGCTGTTAAGAGGCTGGGAACTCTCATCTCTCTCGCCTGATTCTGAATGCACCTTGATCCATCTTGTGAGATAGGGGGAAGAATGAAGAGTCCAGAAAAAGAATAATCCCTTTTGCCTACATTAAATATACTCCATGAGCACTGCATTTCATGCTGATGTTCTGCTATAGTCATTCTTAGTGCAGCACTCTGACTGTTGATGTTCATCTGTTATCAGTGACCCTATTACTTGTTGAGTGCATTGGTTGAGGACTCTTTTATTGTTCTTTGGTCTTTACAGCCTTCAAATGTAAGGGAACCTGTGGCTGGGATCCTGAGCACTCTGATACACCTAACAAATAATTATTAGCATTCCAAAACCCATTCTATGTTTTGCAGTAGCCTGGAGATTGCATAGCAAGAAAACAATTGATGTTAGGTAACATTGCTGCAAAAATTCAGCATCTTTTTCCTGCTATTCCCCTCCAGTCTCACTCACATTGCCCATCACATAATCTCTCACAAACCCCACCTGTCAGCACAGGATCTGTAGTTCATGAAATGTGCCTGGTCATGGTGTTGGGTTACCGAGGCTTTCTATAAACAGAAGTACTTTGAATGACTTGTCATCTCTTACAAATTGAACAGGGAAAATGAAGGCAATGAGTGACAGAAGTCTACAACAAAAATTGCAAAGGCACTTCCTTTCACTTACCATGACACTCTCCAACTAAGCTGGAGTTTCACTTGCAGTGCCAGGGCTGATCAACGCTGCCTTGCACAGGTTTTTTTTCTTGCTTATTTGCTAGGCATCCTTGATGCTAAGCAAATTTGCCTCAGGGTTGCTTAATGCTTCACAGTCCAAATATTCCTCCCTCCAATTGAAGATACTGATAGTGATATTTAGTGTGAAGCTTGA